TAAACAGTGAGCTGATAATGACACACACAGCTGCCTTCCATATCATTTCAGGCAAAGGTCAAGTACATAAATGTACAGCAGTTTAATTTCCTAAATAATCCCATACAGTAAAATTAATTACCCTGGTGTATCAGACTGGCCTCTTGATGAGACTTGGATGGGAACGTGAAAGCAAGGGGTTGCTCTCAGCATGTGTCACACTAAAATATTACTCCTGGGGAAAGGAAAGCGTTTGCAGAGTCACTAAAGTACGACACATGGTGCGTTAAATCTCTTTAATGCAAGACTTGTTCACGATGACAAATTTTAGATCCAAAATAAAACACTTATTTCTGCACCAAAAATGTAATGGATTACTTTATTGTCAGAATTAAACTATAAATTGGATTGATAATTGACGTTTGGATCGATATTATCTTAGCAAGTGCATCATTTTTCATTAATAGCACAGGATTAGTTTTCTTCCCAGTATTGCTCATTTTATGCACCTCTAAAAGCACCCCCACACACCCCTTGTTTCAGGAGAGAAACATCTTTTATAGTAGTGCCAACCTTTCCTCTGGTTCTGTCAACAACAGTTGGTCGAAAAGGAAGGTTTTCAGGAGGGACTTGAAAAAGGGGAGGTGGGGGCAAGGCGGAGGGATTGAGGGAGAGTGTTCCAGAGTTTTTGGGCGCAGTGGGGGAGCGGCGGGTGCGAGGGACGAGCAGGAGGCTGGTACCAGTCGAGCAGAGGACTGTCCCCTGGATTGTGGAATTATTGCTGACATCAACAAGGCACACCTTTAAAAAAAAATGTATTCCCCAAAATGTACCTGCCAATGGTTACGCTCGTGTGCCCACCCCAACACCCACACCCACACAAATGAGCATAACGTGATAATGGGCTGTGAGTTGGCAATTAAGATTAGAAAATTGTGTTTGTCACTGGTGAATGTCAGTGGCTCTGTGAATAAACAGGTCTCTTTGTTCAATGCCTGAATAAGCATATTCATGTTGAATGAAGCACTGAAGAAATTGGCTGGAAAGCAGAATTAATGCAAACCCCAGAACACTTCCAAATGCAGTCTACTGACCGACTGTTAAGGCTAAGTGAGCTAAAAGACAACCATGCACTTTAAAGCATCTGCTCCATATGTAAATGAGTGAGTCCAATGCGGTGAATTAAATGCTTTGCATTGGAACTCTTTCAGTGTGGACGAAATGCCCTTGGTTTGGCAGCATCTGTACGATTAATGAAAGCTACTGAGAACATGTTCACTGATGTGCTTAATGGTGATTAAATATGTTTGCTGATGGTAGTGAGGAAATCAATAAGCACATCGGTGTCTTTCTGAAACAGCCGACCCATGATTCTAGTTTCAGCTCTGGACTCAATCCACGTTTTTATTGTTGCAGAGAATAGATAAATATTTTCCCCACAATAAATAATTGTATGCAATTCTGATGCAGCCACTCTGAAAAGCTTCCAATCTGAAAACCGTCTATCCAATAGCAAATAAATTGATAAAAATAGAAAATGTAATACATTGAGAACCACCTTTATGCCAGTTTGATAAATTTAGGAACCATATGATTGTAAAACCACTTGATTGCAAAATGGAATCAGCAATAAAGCATCCCATATTCATACTGCTATAAATTTTAATAATTGCATTAAGATCAAGCCACACACCTCACTTACACCGGGATTTATATCTCTCCTGCGGACATATAACCAGGAGAATAATAAAAAGGTTACATTAGGAGGTGTCGACAAACTAAATGAAATGTTTCCGCATTTAGCATGAAGTGTAGGCATTTGTGTGTGTGTGTGTGAGAGATACTGGATGATGGAGCGCAAAAGGGATTTGGGTGTAAGCTGAACCATTCATGGAAACTGTCCCTGGGAGGTGTTTGCTGGCAAGTCAGTTTGTGCCCACGTTGAGGGAAACAAGATTGAGAATTTCTGCTTTAAATCCTGGGTAATGTGTTCAACATATACGTTTTTAAATTATTTTACTGAGAAAACCAGGTGAATGGCGGAAGGCACGTTCACTGTTGCGATGGTACAGTCTCTACAATCAATCACTTCATTATTTGTGTTACTTACAAAAAGGTATTTTATAAATGTATCCCGACCCAACTGTCCAGCGCCTCGGGACGTCCTCCCGACGTGAAAGGCGCTCTATAAAGGCAATCTTGTTGTTGTTGTTGTTGTATTTGCCGCATTAATAATAAAACCAGAAGTCGCTGGGAACACTCAGCAGCTCAGGCAGCATCTGTGGAGAGAGGAAAGTGAGTTCACGTTTCAGGTTGATAACCTTTCGCCGCATTACTAGCGACTTCTGCTTTGCCACTCGCAGTTTTGAAACTTTAGCCCCAAAGTCAGCCAAGGGGGAAAGGGGGACGTTTTGCTTCCTGGTACTTTGCTGTCCAGCCTTTGCGATACTTTCGGGACTTTTGGAGACTGAGAAAAAATAAAACGATGATCTTGAATGCTTAATTATGCTACAATAAATCTAGGTTGCCAATCACGCAAATTAGACCCACCTGTCGTAAAGTTGACTTACTATGTGGAACAGAGCACTGAGCCATCATAGCAGTCAGTCAGTCAATCTCGCCATCCAGCCCCTGGCCTCTGTTCTTTGGCTAAGGATATCTCTTTCGTGCCCCACATCTTGGCACACTTCCCAGTAACTCGGTGCTAATCTTCAGGAGGATACTGTTGTTTGTTCGAGAGCACAGGTAAGTTACACTTTTTCATATTATGGGTCGATTTCTGTTAATTTTATTATTATTATTATTATTATATCTATGACCCTCTCAAACCGACTTACAGTCACTGACACCCATGGCTGGTTCCTCTGTTCTCTTTCTGTCGAGGAGTTAATATTGAACTTGTGCAAAACAGTTCAAAGCTTTGTACAGTTTCCTATTATAAGAAGTAAATAAAAGCAATGGGAAAGATTCAGCGGAGATTGACTAGGATGTTACCAGGGATCAGAGTTTCAGTGATGAAAAGAGACTTGAGAAGTAAGGGCTTTTTCACTGGAGCTGAAGATTATGGGGTGATCTGATACGAGGTCTTGAAGATTATAAATGGTGAGTGAGTACAAAGTGTTCTCATTTCTCTCACTCTGGTTCCCATTCATGACCTTCTTCCTCTCTTCTTTGCTTCCAAACTGATTTCATACATCACTGGCACTTGTTATGAGCAGCTCAGCAATTATTCACCAATATGCTGCATAACCTGATTAATTATGTGCAAATTAACTTTAGCTAATGATTTTGTTTCAGATATGAAACGGACATCCACTAAACTGGTAATGGATCTGTGGCAGCGTCCATCTAGCCGAGAGCATAGGCAATGACCTGTTCCTATAAATAAACTATCAGATCTGTCATTAGGAGCAGTCTTGGACACCCAGACATGCTGCTGGCATTAAATGCATTGAACTGCAGTAATTATTATCCTACAATAGGAATGATGAACCAAACTTACTGAACTGATTAAAGTAAAATTAGTTCCATCAATTTCATGCTTTTCCATATTTTACTGATACATTGACAGATGACTGAGATGTCCTTGATTGCACGGGAATATAAACCACTCTGCATAAACAATCAGAAAGCGATAATTATTTAATCAGCACTTTGATCGGTACGTTTGATGAAGTGTCACTTATGAGCGGATGCGGAGTTGAAACGAGCAGTGAAAAGTCAGCGTCTTAAGGAAATGCGAGGCGCCAAAGGTTGGACGATCGTTCAGCGCAACGTCTTTCGAGATCAGAAAAAACAACAGAAGCGTCTGGTGGCAGGATCAGAAACTGGAGCAGATCAAGCAATTTCAGTGCAAGTCTGAGCAGCGCAGCGGCACGTGGGCAGCCAGGCCCGCAAACAGCCCGCACCAGCACTGCTCCTGAGACAAGACCTGAGAGAGAAAATAAACCCTCCCTGGACATCTGTCTGTACAAGGGCACAATGAGGGAGGGAGGGAGGGAGGGGCAGTGCGTGTGCGATGGAGAGTGGTGGTGGGGTGTGTTGTCTCTGGGGTGAGGGTGGGGAGGGTGTGCGTCCCTGGGGTGAGGTTGGGGAGGGTGTGCGTCCCTGGGGTGAGGGTGGGGAGGGTGTGCGTCCCTGGGGTGAGGTTGGGGAGGATGTGCGTCCCTGGGGTGAGGTTGGGGAGGGTGTGCGTCCCTGGGGTGAGGGTGGGGAGGGTGTGCGTCCCTGGGTGAGGGTGGGGAGGGTGTGCGTCCCTGGGGTGAGGTTGGGGAGGGTGTGCGTCCCTGGGGTGAGGGTGGGGAGGGTGTGCGTCACTGGGGTGAGGGTGAGTGGGTGTTTCCCCGAGGTGAGGGTGTGTGTCTCTGAGGTGAGGGTGAGGATGGGGGGGAGAGCGAGGAGTGTGTCCCTTGAGGGTGAGGGTGTGGGGGGTGAGGAGTGTGACCCTTGAGGGTGAGGTGAGGAGTGTGTCCCTTGAGGTGAGGGTGAGGGTGAGGGAGGAGTGTGACCCTTGAGGGTGTGGGGGGTGAGGAGTGTGACCCTTGAGGTGAGGGAGGGGGTGAGGAAGGAGTGTGACCCTTGAGGTGAGGGTGAGGGAGGAGTGTGACCCTTGAGGTGAGGGTGAGGGGAGGGTGAGGAGTGTGACCCTTGAGGGTGAGGGGGTGTGACGGGGGGTGTGTGGTGGGGGGTAGAGACAGAAGTGCTGGTGGTGGTGTGTGTGTGTGTGTGGGGGGGGGGAGGAGAGCAGCAGTTGGGAGCAGGTTCCGGCTGTGAGCGCGGGCGGCACATTCGCCACTTCCTGCCGGTCGGTCGGGGGCGGGCGGGTCGGTCGGAGGCCGCGGCGAAAGTGCGACCGAGAACCTGTAGAGCAGCGCTGAGCTGAGCAGAGCTGAGGCGCGGGAGGCCCAGGCCCGGGGGGCGGCGGCGATCAGGACACGCGGGGGCCTGAGGCCCGGGAGCCGGGGAGGGAGGAGGAGGGACAGACGCCAGGCCCGGAGCGCGGGGTGGGGGGAGGGTGTGACATGGCTCAAGCTCAGGCCCGCGCCCACCACAGGAAAGCCGGGCAGCAGCACCAGCCGCAGCCGCAGCCGCCGCCGCCGCAGCCGCAGGGCGCCGACAAGGGAGGCGGCGGCGGCGGAGGCGGAGGCGGCGGTGGCGGGAAGAAGAAGGAGAAGCCGGAGCTGCTGGTGTTCGGCTACGCCTGCAAACTCTTCCGCGAGGATGAGAAGGCCCTGGCGCAGGAGCGCGGCAGCCACCTGATCCCCTGGATGGGAGACGACGCGCTGCAGATCGACAGGTCAGGTCAGGCCAGGCCGAGGCTCTCGAGGGCCCAGCGCCCCGGGAGCAGCCTTCCCCGCGTCGTGTGCTGTTAACCCCCTTCTCCCCCCCCCCACCACCACCACCGTGTCCAACAAACTGCTCTGATGTCTCTCTCTCTCCACACACCCCCCCACCGCCGACCCCTCTCTCACTCCATGGTCTTAAACCGCATCCCTTTATTTTTTAATCCACTCACCGATATCTTCCCCTCTATTTTACACTCATTTCAGTCTCCTCTCTCTCTCTCTCTCCCTCTCTCCCTCTCTCTCTCCTCACCACCACTGAGCAGTAGTGATAACCATCGCCATTTAAGAAGAATCATCGTCGTCGTCGTCACACAAATACACAGTCACTTCACTTGACCGTGTGTTCTGTGAAGCGCTTTGGGACGTCCTCCCGACGTGAAAAGCGCTATATCAAATGCAAAGGATTATTATTATTATTATTATTATTATTATTATTATCATCGCCGTGATGATGCTCGCGCTCGGCACAGCGCCCGGTCGCCCTCTTCGAGACGTCTCGTAGAGCGCTTCGCGGAATGTACTGTAAAGTGGATCGTCGTGTGTATGTTGTGGGAGTAAAGCCTCGCAACGTGTAATGGTTTGTCACGTTAACAGGTTAATGTCACCCCTGTTCGAAAGCGCTCACGTTCGCCACCCCAATTTTCGTGCTGTGCCCATTATTACCACACAAGCCGGATGATGATTATAATAATAATATTATTATAATAATAATAATCCTTGTGTAGGATATGGTGCCTTATATCATCTCATGGAGACGTCTCAAAGCGCTTCACAGAATACACTGTAAAGTAAATTGACGATGTTTTGTGGATGAAATGATACATTAGATTATATATATAGAGAGAGAGAGAGAGAGAGGGGGGGAGAGAGAGAAGAGCAAAGCCCACATACCATTGTTCACATTTTTCTAGTATGAAAAACATTTACTCTTGTTTTCTCTCCTTTAGTTGATTATCTATCCATGCTGCCGAATTCTCTCAAAAGAGCCCGCACAGACACGATGGGCCGAAAGACCTTCTGTTCTGTAAATTTCTTTGGTTCTATTCCTTTGAATGGCATGTGCCTCAATCCTTTCGACAAGCCTCATCTAAGTGTCTTTTGAAGATCTATAGTTATTGCCCGTATCCCTTTCTCCCCTCTTGAAGTGGTGATGTTCGTGCAATACTGACGGATGCTCCTGTCCGCAGGTATGATTGTCGGGGTCACCTTCACGACCTGTCCGAGTGTGATGCTGGATCCTGGAACCGCGACTATCAGTTGTCGGAGGAAGAGGCGAGGATAGAGGCGCTGTGCGATGAAGAGAGGTATTTAGCCTTGCATACGGACTTGCTTGAGGAGGAGGCAAGGCAAGGTACTATTGGCAGAACAACTTTGGCCTTTCAATCAAATTCACATGAAATTCTGCAATATTTTTGTATCATGTTTCTCCCGTGATTTGCACATGTACTCATTTTTTTGATATTCCTTATTTGACAGTATCCTGAGGATTGGAAAAGGAATCCTTCCTTATCAGAAAGGATCTCCGGGGGTAGTTAGACAGCAAATAAGCAGCTTATAGGGCAGACTGAGGATTCTGTCGTTTTTCAATGGGAAATCTGCTTTATTGGTTATTAATGTGATTTGATAACAGTTGTGTTAATCTTCAAGTGGTGCAGACTTACTGCAATTTATTTAAATATACTTATTGGATTTGGAAGTACTTTTATTTGTGTAACTCTAATATATTTTTCCTTCTCTGCCTCTCATTCAAGAGGAAGAATACAGGCGCCTGAGTGAGGCTTTAGCAGAGGATGGGACCTATCATGCAGTGGACTTCGCGTACAGAAGTGACTACTATGATCCATCACAACCAACAGAAGAGGAAGAAATGAATAAAGCTGATGGTAAATATAACATAACAGTAACAACTTACATTCATGTAGCGCCCTTTATGCAGGTTGGTGTCTCAGAGCGCTTAAATGTTTGAGCGCTTAACCTCTCCACAGCTCTGTGCCCAGCGAGTCAACTAGTGTATATTCGTGAGTTTGTGTGCACTGTTCATTAAAAATAATAACCCTTGCATTTGCTGTAGCCCCTTATCACGTCTTTGAGACGTGTTAAAGCGCTTCACAGAATATACTGTAAAGTGAATTGACTGTATATTTTCTGGGCGAAACACGGCAACCAATTGCACACAGCAGCGTCCCACAAACAGTCGTGGTTTGAGTGACCCAAGTTATTATTATTATGTTTATTTATTTAACTAACTTCTTTTGTCACTGGCAGCAGAGCTTGATAATATGGAAGAAAATGAGGAACCATACACCGCTCCTGCTGGGCTCCTCGTGCCCTCTGATGTAGAAGTTGTAAGTATCTCGGTTACAGTTTCTTTTTTATGAAGTACCCCAGAATTAAATGTCTTGACAAAGCAGGCAGGAAAAATCTTGGGAGAAATGGATATTTTGTGGATCTACCAAGGAGGTGTAAATTTCTATAAATTGGGATTGATGGGAACTCTGGCATAATATAGTTATCTTTTGCTTTGATGCTCGTACTATTAAAAGGAATTTGGACCCTGGTTAAAAACCTCATTTAACCGCAAGTCTAGTGTCCTGTCAAGTACAGTCTAACCAGTAATGTTGCATCCTAGTGTTAAATAACTGCAGCACTGATGTCAGAACAAAGTCGTAGAGTGTTCTTATTACCTTATCAGTGGAGTCCTGTAGCTCAGTGGTTAGAGCACTCGCCTCCAAGCGGGGTCCTGGGTTCGATTCCCAGCAGGGCGAAACCTTGGGCAAGTTTCCTTGCTCCACATGCCTGATAGTAATCCCTCAAGAGAAAAAAGGCGCTATACAAATGTAATTTGTTGCTGTGAGTGTTTTTATGGTTAACACGTAAGATTTCTTGCCCTTCCAGCCTGCAACGTCCAAAATGCATGCCATCATCGAGCGGACAGCAAAGTTTGTCTGCATAGAGGGAACCCAGTTTGAGATCATGCTTAAGGCTAAACAAGCCCGGAACTCTCAGTTTGACTTCCTACGATTTGACCATTACCTGAACCCATACTATAAGCACATTCTGAAGACAATGAAAGAAGGAAAATATGTTCCTCATCCAGACAAAAAGTCCGATGACAAACGAAGTAAGTTAAACTCCTCACATTTTGACCCCTTGCATGTGTGGAACCCCGCCAGTTGACATAACATTTTTGCTTTGAGGCGCTGCAGGTTTGGAAGAAGCGTCATTTTCAGAGGAAGGGAATAGAATGGAGGAACAATTGGTGGCTTGCTGCACTTGAAAGAGAGAATCAGGCTAGAGTGTTTAAGAAAACCGTATTCAATTTAAACTGTAAAAAAACGATGCTCTGAGCAAAGTGATGCTGAGCAGCGACAGATGTGTGTGGTGAGTGGAGCCTCAATGTGGACTCAGGTACTACAAGTTTATAGCAGCCAAAAGCTCTCAATGTATGAATGGGAGCAAGTTCTTGACCTGTAAATCCATTTTGTCTCCATTGCCAAAGCCCATCCACTATAAGTAGTGACTTCATTAATCTTCTGTCTAGTGGTCCAGCTTTTCACCGCAAACAGGATCGTAAAGGACTAGTTATGACTCTTTACCTAAAAGAATTATTGATTTTGACAGCTGAGCCATGCCTCAACACTGAGACCCTTGAGTGTTGTACACCCACTAATGAAATTGGGCGCTGACACTGAATCAGGAACACCGGGTGGTGGGGGGGGTAACCCTGCTTCAAGTGCAGAGAGTGACGCGAGGATAGTTGTTAACCCCAACGTTTCGGCTATTTGAAAGATTATGGACAGACCTCACTGACACTTCATCTTTAAGACCCATTATACTGTCCGACTGCTAGTTGGATGTTGTCTTTGCTTTTGTGCTTTGTGTAGGCAGGAATAACTGAGACCGTTTCACTAACATATTTAAAAATTGTTCAAACCTCTTCCCAGATTCTCTGTCAGAAGATGGTGAGGAGGACGATGATGATGGTGATGGTGGATACCTGCATCCCAGCCTATTCGCTACTAAACGTAACTCCCGATTGGAAGAACTGACCAGAGTAAGTCTCCGCTGAAGTGGGCTTTTGAAAGTCCTCTCAGAACAAAGAAATATATTTGTTTCCGCACACTGAAACGGAACCTGAAATGACCTAAAATGGGCATAAGCCAGATCCTTAGCATAACTGCAGATCTATTTTTTCTTTCCCGTTCGTACCGCTCCCCAGATTTTCTCTTGAATATTGATGAAATGTGTGCTGTTGTATGAGGGTTCTGATTGTGCTCACATTTCTGGGGTCAGTTTTGTGTGCTTGAGGAGTACTTGGTTGAATCTGTCAAAATCAGTTGACGTCCAACTGGCATTGCTTTTCAACTCTTGAGACCACTTGCGTTCTGCTCTAGACCAGGTGCAGGATGAAGTCCGCACTCTGGTACCAACCTGGGACAGTACACGTGATTCAAAGGTGCCCCACCCAATCCAGAAGGGGCCGTTGGTTGCTGTTTTCTGAACAAGCCTGCATTGCGGTGTACGCAGCTGAAAACGCAACACTGAGATTGTTGGCCAACAACAGTGGTGGTTTGATCCTGCAGCCGACAAGGCAACCGTGGGTTGGAAGTTTGTCCTGGTGCTTGCTGGTCAGCCACTGGCCAATGCCATTTTCTCAGTGAAATGTAGACGTGGTTGATTTTGCCAGCTGGGGCTGTCATGGTTCCCCTTGTGTTATTGACAACAACAGCTTGATTCAGTTCAGTGGAAATGAAATGGCTAGCTCATTAATACAGCTGTCTTACACAGGGTGAATGGAGTGAGAGATAGCGTGTAACAGCCTGCAGTAAACACTTGCCATGATAGCTTTCTGCTGTGTGTGGGAGCCTTGCACTGGCTGGCACTCTCCCATCTCTGCTCAGAGGCTGCCGTGAAAACGGCACCTGTCATTTGAAATGAATCCGCCCTCTGGAACTCCAGCCCACAGTCCCTCTGCCTCGCCCCTCCCTTGCCTCCTTCAAGACCTGTCTCAAAGCCCTCCTTTTCGATCGTGCTTTTGATCACCCTCCTACTCCTACCCTCCACCCCTCCTGATCCCAACCACCAGCGCGGGTGCTGATCCCTGACTGTCCAGCTCCTTGGGACGTCCTCCTGACTTGAAAGGCGCTATACAAATGTAATTTGTTGTTGTTTTTGTTGAATCTGCTGCTGTGATGCTTGATTGAGCTTAGTAATTGGAGAACGTATTGATAGTGACAACTTACATAGCACCTCTGCTGTGGAATGAAAGTCTTGAACAACAACAACAACTTGGATTTGTATAGCGCCCTCCACGCCGGACGGCGTCTCAGAGCGCTTTACAGTAACGGATCCTTGAAACACTTCACAGGAGGTGGTCAAGAGCAGCAAAAGGAAGGAGAAATTAATGGTTTTGCCGAAGTTGAGGCGATATCGTCTCGGTTACCAAGATGGAACCATTTGAACTCTCCTAATCTAAAACAACTCGTGCCAACTGGCCCTCCGATTGTTAAGATGTACTGTATTATAACTTATTTTAAACGCTCAAAAGAGGTGTAGGTGAGGCCCTTGGTTAATGTAAGTTCCTAGTGATTGAAAGATTTACAATTTTTACTTCAGCCGTTGAAAATCATGGATCCAGACCACCCGCTTGCAGCTCTGGTTCGCAAAGTGCAGGCAGACGCCAAGATGTCCAAACAGCAAGCGTCCGAGGAGGCAGCAGCCAGTGCTCCCACGGAATACAGCACAGACTGTAAGTGTGCGCTAAAGGCCGTGTTTCACTGGCTGCTTAATTATCCTAAAAACAAATCCTTGCATTTTGATATAGTGCCTTATCACCTCTTTGAGACGTCTCAAAGTGCTTCATAGAATAATACACTGTAAAGTGATTCACACTTGGGAGAGTAAAACCCTGAATGTTTTAAACATTGTAACTTTGGGTTGAACAATATTCCTCTGGATAACGATTATTTTGCTTTGTTATGTTTTTATGTTTCGGAATCGGTGAAAGTTTACATCGGTAACGTTTATTTCACTGTTCTTTGGCAAATTTGAGATATGATGAAAAAGAGTCTGTAAATTCCAGTAGGTGTAATAAATAAGAATGAATTGCTCTCTCTGCAATATCTGACGTCAGTCCCAAATCTGCCTTTCATTACCCCTGAACCTATGTCTCTTGTCCTATTGTCTTTGCGTATTTGTCCTATTAATAATCTTGTGTATCGATCAGGTTCCCTCTGAGGCATCGTTTAAACACTGACTAATTGTTTCTCATTACGGTTCCCTCTTATATTGGGAATGAGACTCATTCCTCTCTCATGTAATGTTGTTTAGCATTGTAGCCAAGCATCCAGTATGCTTTGTTTATTGCTGCCTTACGCTATTTGAAAATGCTGATCAACGAGACAACTCACTGCCTGAGGACTGAGCGACCAAATTGAAATCCAACATCCGTTTCACTCTAGCTACTGTTTCTTTCCTTCTGTAACTTTCCTTCATTTTAGTCAGTCGTGTCTTGTCTTGATCTTGTTTGGAAAGGAATCACTCTTTCCACGTAACTGAAGAAAAAGCTTGAAAGTTGATTGAATGCAGGTCAACTTTGTTAGCCTGTTTGTGTGTGCATTAACAGAACAGAGCTATGAATTCTCTGGTGTTCTCTATAACACCAAAACCCACAGCAGTTCACATTCTCAAAGAATTTAAGCACTTTCGCATCTGTATTATTGGAGCCAGAAGATCCTTGCTAATTGGAAGATTCATGAATTATTAATGATTTAGGGACACACAAAAGTAAAAATGCATTGCCTGGTTAATGCAAATTACCGTTCCATCTTCTTTGCAGCTTTTAAGTGAGAACGTTGCACTGTGTTCGATGTTTTTATTAAAGCCCGGAAAAATTACTTCCCATTTCTGAAAATATTTCTTTACGTCAGGGGAATTGAGTGAAGAACGTTTCATTTGATACTTAATAATCCCGTTCCTTCTACAAACCATATCCAATCCAATCTCACTGACTGAAGCAATTTCACCTCCCAGTTCACCATTTTAACCCAACTGTTAGCATCTCCATCTATCTTTTCCTCAGGATTTTAAACTCCTGCATCAATGCTCCTCCACATCTTTGATGTAATGAGATCGGTTCAGTTTCAGTGCCTTTCTTCAATACAGCTTTAAGTCTTGCAATTGCTCTCACCATTCCTCTGCACTCTCTAACATTTTATCAGTGACCTTCTGAACCCTCTCCATTACATGGGCTACAAGCCCAGGCTGAATGGCTGTATACACATGTAGAATGACCTCCTATTCCTAGACTTGCATTGTGTTGCACATTTAATGTTCCTTGAATTCTTCCTTTGATTTTCATGCAGTCTACAGCATTTTATGAAAGAATAATTGTCTAAATTGTCGGGTAAGATTCTCAATGTGGAGCATATTTTAAGAGCTTATTACGTATTGTAGGCCAGGGAGAGCAGTTAACCTTCATATTACATTTAGCTAAGCTGTAAATCAAAACCCATTAGTTTTTTATGCTTAAAGGTGAGGAAAGTAGAAATTAATTTTCTGTAAAGTTTGTTTTGACTAAGTGGGCTATTAGGTTAGGTGTCGTCTTTGTAAGTGTTTTAGTCTGGTAGGCGCTATAACTTGTCTTGAAATACTTAGGGACTTTGGTGAGCATTGCTGGCCTCAGTGTAAAATAGCATTGAGTTAGAGGGATAGTTGGGTTACAAAACAAGGGCACCTTGTGCATCTCATATTTATTTGACTGTCGGCTACAGAATTAACACTGAAACAAAAGGACTTTTTAACTTTTTGAATTCATTTCTTTTAGCTGGGTTTTTAAGGGAAAGGAATTGATCATATGGCTGAGGGGGAAGGGGAGAAATGTGTGGCAAATCAGAAGAGGGTCTTGGGTTTGCTTTGCTGCCCCAGGAGTTGACTCGCTAGCTCCAAGTCTCTCTTGTCTGCCCTCCAAATAGATTAAGGAATGCTGTTTCCCAATAGGATTGATTGCTTTTTTCAAACCAATGCGACAGCATGTTTAGAAACAAATGAATTCCATTATCACTGCAACAAAGATTAATGTCGACGATATTCGTGGATTATTGTGTCTTCAGTGCAATTCAAGTCTGAAAGCCCAGCCTGGTTAGGTTAGAATCAGTCTTGCAGAGCTCAATTGTAAATAGGCATTGATTTACCACTGTAAGCTCTCTCACATGCTTGTTAGTGTTGTGTAGACAAACTCTGGCAAATGTGAATTCCCTGCTCAGAATGCTACTTAAATAAGAACTCTGCTCAAGTCAGAAGCACCTGATTAAAGGACAATTTACGAATGTTTGTAGCACGATCTATATTCAATCATTTAAAAGGCTATATCACTGTGACCAAATATTATTCCACCACGATTGGCCTTCTGAATTGCCTGCTGTCTGCAATGAGCTCCAGTGCTGATCAGTGTGAGTAGAAATGTACGACACTTATGCTGAAACACTGAGAGAGCCTCGAGTTCCTGATGCTGTGAAAACTCGGCCCAAGTTCGGAATTTATAGTTCAGGAATTTTCACTAATGGACACAAACCAGCTGACTGTACTGACTATTACAAATAGCAGTCCTTGCCGGTGGCCTTGCAGGCCTGTGAAGATTTGGTCACCAAGGCAGCAGATGAGAAGCTTTGTAACATCTCTGCTTTGTAACATGCCCAATTTCAAAGGCCGACCATTTAGTCTGTGCTGGTCTTCGAACGGAGGGTTTGAAGGTTAAATGGATTGTATTTTTCAATTCGATCTGTCCTTGAACATAATGAGCCAGGAAAATATCAAACTCCATCCATGCACATGCTCTGGAGTGAATGCATTCATTCCCTGTTTACAATTATGAATTATTTGTTGATGATTCTGTTAATTCCTTTGGGGCTCTCATTTGTTGCCTTTTGCCTCTGCTGCAGCACGCAGCCTATTAGGAATGCCACCGGATTTTTTTTGTTTAGCAATTAGACCTTTTTTTTTTCCTTCGTGTTAATGGCCACTCGACTCACTGCTGAAATAGTCAGAACAACATTGAGAATCTCCCGGTTCCGCCACGAGTTTCGTGCAGCGTTGAGGAGCAGGGTAACTTGGTGAGGGCTGGGCAGTGCGAGCACTGTAAAGTAAGCTGACGTGGATGAAGTTAGTGGTGTGATGGTAGCAAACGTCTCTTGTTTTAACGCAGCGATGGGAGCCATGTATTATGGTTATTACATGATGCCCGATGGTACTTACTGCATGACACCACCTCCGCCTGGAATGGAAGTTGCCGGTTACTATGGCACATTGCCTTCAGAGATGGCGACATCGACAGCCACCGGAGTATCCGCCCCTCCGCCTCCCGGCACCACCCCACCACCGCTCCCGGTCACTGACGCCAGCAACAACCAGCTCCCTGCAGCTACAGTCACGTCAAGGTAGGAGTTCTCACGTAATAAATGTTGTTTCCTTTGAGATAAAGTGATTGTGCAAACCTACACAAATGGTTTTGTGTCCAAAGCTATTCTTAATTCCATCTGTCTGGATGAAAACTACTTACCAGCCATAGATTGGATTGCAGCGTTTTATTGATGCTCCGGTTTATTTGGGATGGATGTCTGAAACGCAATGTTAAACGAACTGTGGATTCATTTAAAATAAACTTAATCCACAACTATGAGTTTCCTGAATAACTACCTCAACCAGAACAGGAGATCTTCCAAATGGGAGCGCAGACTATAGACTAGAAAGGACTATATGTTGGCAGCACATTACATTCAGGACAAGGGAATATCGCTGTTGCAGTGAATTTGCCGGGGACAAAGTGATGAAGGAATACTTTTGATCTTATCCTCGTGAAAATTTGATATTGTGGGTATATATTTATCTATAGATAAGCTCATGTGGGAAAATGTTAACATATGTTCATGCACTGGGATGTTACGCAATGTGATAGTCCAAGTGTTTGACGTAAAGGAAAATAGTCAAACCTGTGTTTTGAATCTTGTTTTTCAAAAGCTTACATCAGTTCTGTTTGAGCTCGTAGCTTTCAATCTCAAGAGTCTGCCACTGTGATGGTACATCCACCCTTTTTGGCATATGTGGCCACATTGGAAGTTTATGCCTTGGAGTGCCTCTGATTGTCTCATTTATGTGCCACTGTGTGTGTTCAGCTGGAATACAAATAGCACTTTGATCTTTACAGGCTCAATGTTGCACAAAGATACAACTCAACCCTCTCGACCCGAGTTAGTGAGTTTAGCTGTGTGGAATCTATTACTAAAACAGTGGTTGCTCTGAGGAGAATATATCCTGTGTTCATTGATCCTTTAGCCGTAAAGTGCCCGGAATAGTTGAGACTTGTTCTACCCATTGCACGATTGCTTTTTGGGGTCTAATATATAAGACGTCTTTATACGAGGTACAATATTGCTAAACCGCATGACCTGCATGTCATTTCAGAGTTACGTTTGTCACTGTTCTCCGTACGACAAAGTAGTTGAGCTTCTTGTTGTTTGTTTATCGTCGGTTCACTAAAGGTTATCGTTATTGAATTCCATTGAGCCACTGTGAACGTGGACAGTCAGGATCTTCCAGGAACTGACCTGCTGTTATTTTAATTGGGTTTTGTGTGTTTGGAAACTTAATTGGGGAGAGGATTTGTTCATTGTGATGTAGAAATTACGGTGGCCACTTGGTTCATTTCCCTTTTCGCCCAGTCTTGTAGGTGAGTTACCACAACCCTTTGATAGCCCCATGTAGGCCAGCCCTGGATTTACTTGTTGCGTTACCTTTCTGTTGTGTCTTGCAGTGCCTCAACTTCGCTTCCTGTCATCATTCCTCCACCCCCCGATACCCAGCCAGTCATCGACAAGTTGGCTCAGTACGTGGCACGGAACGGAACCAAGTTTGAAACCAGCGTGCGAGCCAAGAACGACCCACGGTAAAGAATTCAGATGACCAGAGTATTATTATTATATTATTATTCCTGTGACAAAACCTTGGTTTGAATTTGCAGCATTCCAGCCATTTCCTTCCTGGGTGGAAACCCTGTATATTAGTACTTCAAAAAAATCTCTCTCTATATATATATATAATATGTATTATATGTATGTAATATATATTGTTGGATTATCTTTCCAAGCATAATATTTTAGGTGGTTTCTGCAGTTTGATGTTGGTGATAAATTGTTAGACAATGTGCTGAGCTTTCCCAATGCCAGAGGAGAGAGTGACACAAGGCAGTCAGCACTTCACCCCGAGGCTAACAAGCGAAGGGGGAGAGCTACCACTGAAACTGACGGTAACTCTCTCATCAAGTGCTGCTGCTCAGTCCACAAGGGATTATTATCTTTCTGTCTGCAAAGTCTGCTGAACTATCGAGGAATAAATATGATCTGTTGAAATGTGGGCTTGTTTGACTGACAGAAGGTGTCGTCAGAAAGGGTAAAACAGCAGGTGCTAAACATCTGGTGAGATGAAAGTCCCAACACATCACACACACACACGTACACACACTGCAGAGATCAGTCGTCTTGGCATTCCATAAGTTGAAAAGATGGAACTTTCTCGTAGGAGCTCGTTGCATATTTGTTCTCACACTGGAACCCATCATTAAGCTCACAAAATCTATATTGTTCCATTTGATTCTTTTAGTAGATATTCTTCAGGAAAATGTAATCCACTCACTTGCTGCTTGCTTTGGACATACACTGGCATTGGGAGTGCTGTTCCCACAAACACTGCCCAATGGGGATTCCAACGTCATATGTTGCTGCATATTACTTCTTACGTGGCTATAGAAGCAAAGAATTAAGATGTTAAATCTTATTCGGTGACATTCAGCCACAAAAACAGCCACCACACTTTGCAGTAAAATCTCGTGATCCGGTTTGACACGTCTCGATGATGTACGTGATAAGGCACTGTGTCAAACACAAGGATTACTGTCATTATTTCTATTTTTGAAGTATGAGCTTGCTCATTATTCGGTTGCCTTGTTGTGGGCAGTGCAGTAATTGGTGGATTGGGTAATGCACCAATTCTAACTCACAGCCTCCTGTGTTCAGAATAGGACCAGCTCTGACTTGTACTGCAATATGCTTTCTCATCTAGTGAGCGTCTCGCAGGATAGAAATTGTTAAATTTCCCTCACTTTAGAGCATGAACAACTCCTGATACACTGCAGGGTTTAAGTGTCTTGTTTCCCAGTAAGGGAAATATTCACTCAAGCCCTTTCCCGTACGGTTCATGTGAAACTCGGAACATTGGAGGAGGATTTTGTGATTTTCCCCCATCCCCTGTGACTTGCTCTGAATTGGTTACATGAGCTGTGAGAGTGTTTAATGGGGTGTTGCACTGAACTAAACCAAATCGCTTTCCCGTCTCGCTTCCGCAAAGGGTGAGAAAATATATCAGCATTTTTTCTTGTGGGCTGTTGCAGCCTCCATTAGCCATCCCGTCCGTTCAGCAACCACACAGCCACGCTGCATTAGCTGGAAAATGAATGAGAAACGGGGCACTTGAAATCCTGCTTCAATGTAATTTATAGCTCTTGGGTTTTAACGATTTCTGCGTGGTTTGAAAGCTTGTCAATTTTAGATGCTGATCCGTTGGCAAAAATAAGGATCAAGGATTGTGGCTTTTCTTTCAGGTTTGAGTTCCTGCAGCCCTGGCACCAGTTTAATGCCTATTATGAGTTCAAGAAGCAGTACTTCGCTCAGAAAGAATGTGGTGGTATCGTTCAGGTGGGAGAGCTTGTCTGTGGTCTGGATGGGGAGGGGGGGGGGGGGGGTGGCGCGGACATGTGTCTGGGATGATGTAAATACCGTGTGAAGCAAAAGTTATTTTTCCAAACTTATTTAAAAGGCATGTTAATTACATTCAAGTAGTTTTCGGGTTCAGCGAGCTTTCCCAAACAGTGAAGAGACAACTTTGAATGTGAATATCAATCCGGGTATAACAATGTTGCCCGTGTGTCTGAAGCTAGGACTCATGCATATGCAGTATGTACAATTGTCAGATGTGTTGCGACTTTAGTTTGGTTTGAAGCAGTGAAATCTGTCCCATAAAGCCCAGATTAAACAAACGTGGCATTTCCAGATGGCGCTGACTTGTACCAAGTGCTGAAATTGCGTGTGAGACATTTTAATATCGAAAATGAGAAACTGCCTCAGAAGAAACAACAGCTCTTCATTCACATGGTGATGGGGTTCAGCTGCCGTTGGGTAGACACTTTGCTTGAGGCAGTGCGCGCAGGGTTAACTGCTGTTACATACTGGTGGGAAGGGGAAGAGACGGAGCCGAGGGAAGTTGGTGGGGAGGGGAGTTNGGGGGGAAAGGAAGGCAGCAAACTAGAATAGTTTGGGAAAAATTCCAGAGGTCAGTGGGACTGAGGGTTGCTTTCTAATTATATTCCTGTGAACCATATCTGTGCACCTGTTAGCACTGCAGAAGATTTAGAATGTAATTTGCTGTGTTTATTTCCCCTGATCATAGGAGACATTAGTGGCAAGCACGCTCACTGCTGGCACCTCCTCGGAGTTACTGCCTCCCTCTGTCGATGACACTGTAACCAGCCCCGAAGCGGCCAGTGCGGCAATCCCAAAACCTGACCAGATCAATTCCTTTGACAAGCCAGCGAATGACGGAAAGCTACTAAAAGGTAGTCGGTGGAATGGTCTACCATGTGTTTCAGGACGATCGTGCTGTGTTGTGCTTTGCAGGGTCTGATGTACAGGTTGACAGTATATTCTGTGAAGCGCTTTGAGATGCCTTAACGACGTGATAAGGCACTGTATCAAATGCAAGGATTGTTGTTGTTATTATTCGTCGGTCGCACTTGGAAAGTATATTAACTACTGTTCGGGACGTTTGGTATTTCAGTGCAGAACTTTCACCTTGCTGGCATTCGGGAAGCTGGGTTTAGACGAGCGTGCGACATAACATGTAGGAGCAGGAGTAGGCCATTCGGCCCTTCGAGCCTGCCCCGCCATACAATCATGGCTGATCTTCTAATCTAACTCCAGCTAATAACCAGACCCTGCCTTATCCCCATATCCCTTAATACCTTTTGTAATAAGAATTCTGTCTATCTCAGTCGAATATGTTCAAGGACTGAGCGTCAACAGCCCTTTGGGGTAGTGAGTTCCATACATTCACCGCCTTTTGAGTGAAGAAGTTCTTTCTCAACTCAGTGCGAAAGGGCTGCCTCTGATTTTAAGGTTGTGACCCCTGGTTTTAGTTCCTCCAACCGGGGAAACAATCTCCCACTATCTACTCTATCATGCCCTTTGATGATCTTATAGGTTTCTATAAGATCCCCTCTAATTCTTCTATATTCTAGAGAATATAGGCCCAAATTGGTCAGCCTATCCTCGTAACTCATCCCCTTCATCCCTGGTACTAACCCAGTAAATCTACGCTGCACCCCCTCCAAGGCAAGTACATCCTTCCTTAAATAAGGAGACCAAAACTGCACACAGTATTCCAGGTGTGGTCTCACCAGGGCCCTATACAGTTGCAGCAAGACTTCCCTACTCTTATACTCTAATCCTTTCATAATGAATGCTAACATACCGTTCGCCTTCCTAATTGCTGCTGCACCTGCAGACTAACTTTCTGTGATTGGTGTACAAGGACACCCAAGTCCCTCTGGACGCTAACACATTCCAATCTCTCCCCTTCTAAAAAATAACCTGCTCTATTGTTTTTGCTACTTAGGTGGATTACTTCGCACTTCCCTACATTATACTTCATCTGCCACCTACCTGCCCAATCACCTAACCTATCTATGTCTCGCTGCATTTTTTTAATATCATCCTCTGTGTTGACACTTCTTCCTAGTTTTGTGTCATCCACGAATTTAGATATATTAACTTCGATGTCCTCATCTAGATTGTTGATGTAGATGGTAAATAGCTGAGGCCCAAGGACTGATCCTTGTGGCACTCCACTAGTCACATCCCGCCAATCTGAAAAGGACCCGTTTATCCCTACTCTTTGTTTTCTACTTGTTAACCATTCCCCAAAATATATTTGGTCTCTGCTTGTCTCACTGCACCTCTTCGACTCTCACCCTAATAATAATAATCCTTGCATTTGATATAGCGCTTTTCACGTCTTCGAGACGTCTCAAAGCGCTTCACAGAATATACTGTAGAGTGAATTGACTGAATATTTGTGGGTGAAATGCGGCAGCCAATTGCACACAGCAGCGTCCCAGAAAATTATTTTATTTATATTTTTTCCGAACACTGGTCACGGAGAGTGTTCACTCTCTCTTTGGTTTCCAGAATATGGTCATCAAGTAACGAAAAACCTAAGAACAGATTACATGCTGTGTGGGTTCCTCAGGAAATTGCCATTACATGTTCGAAAAGAAGAGACTCTTGATTTGACAGCTAATTGTAGATTTGCACTACGTTTTGGGAGCAAAGTAATTTTGTATGTCATTAAAGATATTTGATCTAGTGTTAAGTTGTTTCTCACGCAATCTGAATCTGCTTCCAGCATCTTTCGCACCAATCAGCTTTGCGATTAAGGCGAAGGAGAACGACATGTTGCCTTTGGAGAAGAAACGAGTGAAACTGGATGACGACAGTGATGATGACACACACGATCCTTCTGACGACTCTACAAAGACGCATCCTCCTCTGCCCGTCCCCCTGAGGAGAAGAAGCCCCAACTGACTGCTGAGGAGATTGAGGCTAAACACGGTAGGAATCTGGAACACTCCTCTACTGAACAGTCCTGTTTATCGTCTTGGCAACTCCCTTATCTTTTAGCTTTCCCTCGACATTTATTAGGTGTCTCTAATTTTCTTCAGTGTTCTCAGCTTAGCTATAGTAACGATCCTTGCATTTTCCATTGCACTATTTATCATGTCGTCTTGTTTGAAAGCTCGGTTTTGTTAATTTTTTTACTCTTTACTCAGAATGTGTCCAACCCTTTATCCTCTCTGGCTCACATTTGAATATCTTCCCGTGTTGCTCCACTGCTAATTACTCTAATCATCGCCTGTGGGCTTGGTCTCACTTCATCCACTGAGATTTGCTTTCTTCCAGTTTCGAGTCTTTATCTCTGACTCCTCTTTTGGTTTCTCTGTCTTCACTGTGAACCTGATTAGGCTATGGTCACTATTCCTCCAGGGTCTCCTGTCTTTGTTTACTTGTCATTACCCAGAGCCAGATCTAACATTGCATCCTTTCTTGTCAGACTTTTGATATACTGACAAAGTGAAAAGCCTGCCTACATTCTAAGAATCCTTTCCCATTTGGACCACAAACATTGTCCTTGCCTCGGTCAACCTTGGGATAATTAAAGTCATCTGTACTTAGAACTCTTTTTATGATTGCAAAACTCTCTCTATTGCCTGTAAATTTCATCCTCCGTTTCTTTCCCACTATTCATTGGGCTATAATGTACTCCCAGTGTGATAGAGGATCCCTCATTACTTCTTAACCCAGAGAAATTGCAGCTGAACACCATTGTCGATGATCTGTTTCTCCTCTAATGCTGTGATCATGACTGTTCACCATCAGTAATGTGCTTCCTCTGTAATTTTTACAATGTGTCCCTGGTTAATCAGAAGAGACACTCATGTTCCGTGGACATCAGTTACATGATAATTTTACTTCCAATGATAGCTTTTATATCTCAGAACGAATTCCATGGTTACTTGATTCCCTATCTACTTATGTATGGACTAAACTGAGCTGGTGCAGGAATGCAAATTAGCAAACCATTGAACAGGATGGCTGGCATTTTAAATAATGCCCTCAGACCAATATTTCACATCCTGATAATGTATTGGCTTCATACGTAATGTGACATTTAAGTTGATATGAAATTTTGTCTGCTGCCTGATGGATATCCATCCCTTTGGGTTTTTCCTGCGTAAGGTGACATACGTATTTTTGTAAGCAGGAGGGATGACATTTCATTGCAAGTAACCCTGAGATTCTCGTCAGCAGAATTGTCAAGGGATGACCTCCGATGAAATAAAAAGTAACTTCAGAAAAGACAATCAGATCTCAGGAAACACACAAGTCGAACCAGGATGGCACAATTGGCGAACCAACTGACACTTCCCCAATGGGACCCGGATTTTAAACAGTTCCTGGACTGAGATGTGAAAGTCTCTGTTGCCTGTTGCTATATGTGGAGTTTGAGTCTGTAAAGTGAAGTGTTGGTAGCTGGTGTCTCAGAGAGTGATACATCAGAGAATGTGAATCGGAGCCTGGGGCAACAGCTTTTCACTGTCTGTCTACTCAACTTTGGCCCTGGCTGCTCAAAGGCAGAAAGTGTTCAGTTTCCTGACACTTGATTTCCTCAGTCATAATTAGCACAAGATTTGAAGCAATTGATTGGAGGCAGATTCATATCCCCCCCTCCATCACCGCTCTCACAAGATTAGTTTGAATTCATGCCCTTCAGCCCATCTGATCTCATCCCATTAGAATACCCATCCTGCCATTACAGTATGAGAATTGGGCTGTTATTGACTGCATGGGTGCTTGTGTTCAGCATAATGCATGGGTGCTTGTGGACTAGTGCAGAGAAGCTGCTTTCCTTCTTTTTCTTTCCTCCGCGTAGGGTGTTACTGAGTAAAGCATCAATTACACCAAAATAGCCATTTTTGTAAATGTAGTTAAATGTATTTCGCTGCCAGAAGAATGACCATTCATAATGGGAATTAATTGTGAAGTTGCATCATGTTCTTTGAGGAAATTGGATTTTTATGTACTTAAATGATGCATTGGTTTAATTAACGTATTTTTGTGGCTGTGATCTTGTCAGAGGCACAACAAGTGCCTCAGCAGTTACTCTCTGACTGAGCAAACAGGGACCTTGTTACTTGCTGCGCACAAACCAAAAATTGGGAGTTTCGCCCGCTGAGAATTTACACTATGAATTGTGTCTGCTAATTGTGTCGTAAAGCACGATCTTGCATTTTGTAGCACTTTAGCACATCGAATGTGAGTCTCAAAAGAGGTTCATTGCCATCCAGTTTAGTGAGTGTTTACTTGTCTGCAATATTTGGAGATGTCACTGTCATTATATAATAATAATAATACTTGCATTTGATATAGTGCCTTATCACGTCTTCGAGATGTCGCAAAGCACTTCATAGAATATACTGCAAAATGAATTGACTATATTTTGTTTCCTCTTTCTACCTACAACTAACTGATGACAGGAGTGATAGATAACCTGTATTTGTGTGTCTGGCGCAGCTGAGACCAGCTAACTCACAGCACAGACCAGGCAGGAATGGAGCCTGTATCTATTCCCTGTATCCCCTGGGTTCGGGGACTGCATGGTTAGCTGAGAAGTATCAACATCCAAGGCATTGATTGAACGCTTAAAGAGTCTGTTACATTCATAAAGGTTGCAGATGTAAGGAGCTATTAGAATATTCACTGTATATAACAAACACAAATGCATGTAACTACCGTAATGAAGAGGTGCAAATCAGGAGATGTGGAGATAATACAATACAAATTACATTTGTATAGTGCCTTTCATGTTGGGAGGACATCCCAAGGCGCTATGACAAATGGAATGCATCAGTTTCTCATCTACTTGGCCAAGACCCTGTTTTTCTGATTGCAGCAGCCTTAGCTAGCCAGTGCAGCGAGTGGCCGTGTGTATCTGTTCTTCTTTCCGTGGTCCTCTGTTTTCTGTTTGACGTTTCCCTCTGAGTTCTGGTCCTGACGGAGTCTGTGTTACAGCTAAACAGCGGCTGGAGGCCAAGCTGGCTGCTGCAGCCAGGGAGAAGCTGGCTCAGGCCTCAAAGGAATGTAAGGAGCGACAGCTACAGGCTGAGCGCAAGAAAAAAGCTGCACTTTTCCTTCAGAATCTGAAAAACCCGACGTCCTTGGGTGAGACGGAGGCTGGGACCGCAGAAGACAGCACTCAGCAAGTGGAGGTCAGTTGTGATCAACAGCAACAACTTGCATATATAAGCACCCGTCACGTGGGGTAGCATCTTGGTCAGAGCGCTTGACAATGGCGGAGTCTGACCCCAAGCCGGGGGGAGAGAGAAGGGGGGAGGTGACTGTAAGCACCATCAAAAAAAGGGGGCGAAAAGGGAATGCAGGTGTTCGGCCCACAAAAACAACCGACCTTAGGGGAAAAAAATCAGCTGTGTGTATAACAGGCGGAAACAGCTCAGCCTTTCTTTGGCAAACTTAGGCAAGGTTATCAGATCGTGGCACATGCTTTAAATCCCATTTCTCCTTATTCCTGACTTCCCCTTTTCTACCTTTTGCTTTAAACATACCATTAATTCCGCCTGAACGACTTTTTAGAGCAATGTGTGGCAGTAATGCATGTGGGTCCATGTCACAGATGCTCAGCCTCACTTAATTGGGGGTGGGGGGGGGTGCGGGTGACACGGGAATAAGGAGGAAATCAACCAAATCTCATTCTGAGGGAATGCCGACCTTTCATCTTCCCTTGGTGCTGAACTTGCTTTTTTTTTTAGTTTCAGGCTGTCAGTGAGATTTGTAGTAAAGTTTCATCTGTAACGGAGAGAAAAACACCGGAGCAATCATCGCCAAAGTCAACGAGACCTTTCAGAGAGAAGGACAAGAAGAAAGAGAAAAAGCATCGGAAGAAGTCTCGATCCAGATCCCGCTCGCGCCCCAGATACCGACTCCGATCCCGGTCCAGATCCAGATCCCGCTCACGTTCGAAAGCCAAGCATTCTCTGCCGAGTGCCTATCGCAGCGTCCGGCATTCACGGTGAGTACACTCGTTCGTTACCACTGACCTACAGTCGCTACCACCAACCTAGTCGCTAACGCCTTGCGACGAGCCTCTGCTCATGTGTTACAGCAGATACTCAGCAGCTACGTTTTTCCCCTTGGCTGTAGGTCGAGGTCGCCTCACGGGAGAAGAGCTCAGTGTTCGGAAAGACGGCGGGAAGACCGGGATCGTAATGTTCCCAGTGCGTATCGTGTCGGCAACAGCCCAGGCCTCAGTACCCGAAAGCGATCGCGGTCAAGGTGAGTCAGGAAGCTGAAATAACGCCTCTTAAGAAAGAAGGAAACTCGTTTCCTAATTGGTGTCTAATTCTGTTTTGCACCTTGCAGTTGACAGACTATTATGTCACTGGTGCTGAGAGCACTCGGAAGCTAAATTATAATCTTCAACGTGAAAGGTATTAAGAGTTCCATTAAGTGGGCGATAATGATTTCCAGCGACTTCCAAAGATGCAGATTTTTTTTAAAAAAAAACTTGCTAATGATCTTCGCGAAGCTTGTGACTGGAGACGAGAAGGTAGTGCTTCCTACCTTGCCTCAAGGCCATCCAGGCTGAAATGATGCATCCTGGTTGCAAAGGGATGCATTCCTTATACCATAAAATCCAATGATAAGGTTGTTAAGTTTATTGCCTTTGCTTCACATAAAGCTGATGTAAGACATTTACTCCCGAGTCTGGGCTCTAGTGTACAATGTTTAATGTCTGAACTACCTATCCTTCAATATGATCAGGGTTGATTGAAGAGAAGGGAGAGGATTATAAATGAGGCAAAACTAAATGGCATCCGGAGGACACTTCCAAAGCCGCATTGCATATGTCCAACATACTGGGATTTAATGAGCTCTCGGCAGCAGCAGAGCCACTTTATACACCATTCTGTTTACATTGCCGGGCAAAAGGAAAGCATAACATTTTCTCTAGTTCTGACGTGAAAACCCATTACAAAGCGTTAAACTGATGGCTGACATGTTTGCATCTGGCAGCGAGTGAGTCTGTGTCAAAATCCGCCGTTGCTCTGCGTGTCGGAACCCAGGAGGTGAAGTTTCGGCTGCTTGGGGGTCGGTAGCTTGCTTCTTGTCACACAGCCACACCGCGAGGCCGGGCAGCGACCGCCTGGATCCGGGCCAGGTGGCCAAGGCAGGAAATGCTGGCTTCGCTGAGTGCTTCCTGGAGTTTGGCAGTTATATCACTTGTGCAGGCTTGAGTGCTGGTTGAAAAACAAATTGAGCTGCGTGCCACCCCGAGTGGCTGTGAAGGAAACTGTCTGCTGCATCTCGGGCTTCGTGATGATCAGGAGAATGCTGCGAGTGGTGCTGCGACCCACTCTGCGACCGGTTTATCACACGGCGGTAAAAGCTAAACCAGGTGCCAGCAGCAGACGAGAATATGCTGATTTTTTTTAACAGGATCGCAGCCCAACATTCCTCTTTAAGGTTACTTAACACTGTTTGGAGATTTCTAACGATGATGTGCTGCCTGTCAGCCCTGCGTGTAAGTGTGTTTGTGTGTGTGTGCTTTCTCGCGGATCTTGTCTCGAATTCACCATTGCGTAGAGTAGAAATGTCTGGTGATTAACCCTGCCTCCTTGATCACTCTGTCGCAAACCAACTCTCCCAGCCTCTGCTCTGGGTCTACAGCTATACATACACTGTGTGATTATACATGTTCCTGCTGCTGTTAATTCTGTTCTCTTGGGGCTCAGTGACATGGAGGCACAACCCCCCTCCCCCCCCCCCCACCCCTGCCTTGCTCAGAGTCAGGTAGCACCAAGCTCAGTTGTTAATGAATTCAATAAATATTGAGATCCGAGCTATGAAGTTCCTGGTAACTCGCACACTGTCAGCATTGCAAAAGATTCTCCTAAGGGGATGTGGAGCTTTAAGGTTCTTGTGCTCGTGGCCTGTGGGCTGGTTTATTGATTTGAAATGTCTGTTCTTTTATGTGATTTTGCCAAATCTTTCTCTCGTCAGATCTCCGTACGAAAGGAAGAAGAAAAAGAGTTCTCGGTCTCACCCCAAGCTAAAGGGAAGGACTTTACGTTCCCGATCACGGTCTTTATCACCTAAAAAGTGCTCGAGTGTGAAGTCTTCAGCCAGAAGCTCAGCACATTCGACCAGTTTATCCCCGGCAGAGAGCAGAGGTTCCAGCCCTAGCCATTTCAGGTAACGGGTTTTATACCTGGCCATTGCAATAGCAACCGTAATCCGTCTATGTACAAGAGAAATGTGGAGATGTTTCATATCAATATTTTTACGTTGTGATTTTAGCAGCAATCACTACAGCTGTGGGACGTGCTTTGAGACGTCCTCCCTACTAGCAGGGCGCTGTATAAATGGTGACTTATTCTTGTTGTAGAGAAGGGTCATACTCGTTCGGCCCAAAGTTTAGAATAGTTTACAGACTGCCCCACCCGCCCATCAGCTATTGGAAGTGGAATTGGATGAAGCCATCTTTTATTTGCATTTTTAATTCAATGTACAATGTCATTCATTACATTCATTATATTCATTATAATGCAGAAATCCCAGCAATGGGGACCATTCCTATAGCGAACTCTGAATGAGTAAGTCTTAAGAAAGATCTCACCCCATCCGACTGGTGTTACCCACTGCAGCTACAAACAACTGGCTAGTGTTACCCACTACGGCTACAAACTGTCTCTTGTAGACACCGCTAATGGTAAAAGAAATTGGATTTTAAAGAGTGCTAAGTTTGCTCTTAACCAATAATGCTGCCAACAGAAATTCCACTCCTCGCTATTAAATCAAACGTGTCACTCGGTAGTAAAAAGGCTTTTAAGGGCAAATTACAAATTCAGTGACATAAAGTAATGGATTTTCTGTGCTGTTTGAATTCAACAAGAGTGTTTGGTTCAGAAGTGCGGAGTGGAAATATCAACCAGGTAATGTTAACATTCATTATATTTTACGTTTCTCCACAAAGTTGAGAAGCAGCGAAATGAAGCTGTTCGGTGTTATCACTGAAGGGAAATGATCCCACCCCAAAGTTTGTGTTGTTATCGTATTCTGTAAATGTACTTCGAGTTGGCAAATTCCTGTGATCTGGAATCAAACATGATCTTAGTCTTAAAACCGTTGCCTTACAATGTAGCATCGCATTGAATTTTTAAAATGATTTAATGCTGCAATTTGCTTCTCGAGATGTTCATTGTTATACACGTCCAATGTTTAATTTAAAACCAGTTTTATACATGGCTTTTCTTCCCATTATCTGAAGGCATGATAGAGCTTGTGTGGCATAAAGTCACAATCTGGCCAACGTGGGTGAGTGGGCCCTGTATTCTGTTGGATATCTGTGATAAATATTTTACAATGTATAGTACGTATAAATATATTGTATATGAATATAACTATGCAGGATTATCTACTGTGGCTGTCTCTCATTTAGGGAAGTCTCCCAGGAAAAGGATGGAACAGCATCACCAGGACTGCTATCGTCAATGCAGAGCAAAATAACTCAGGTACGAATCCTTCTTACAGTATCATTCACGTATATACCTTGCGCGTGTCTATACAGTGTGTATTATGTATAATGTGTGGGGTGAATCTCTACATGTGAGCTGCAGAATCAAAGCTTATACTGTGCTTTCTCATCCACGTGCATAGAATATTGTACAAAATATTCTCTGCATAAACCCCCCCCCCCACACGCTTATACTCACAGACATGCGCTCGCTCAAACACTCACACAGACACACACACACGTACTCTCAAACACTCACACAGACACGTGTACACACACAAATATACTCTCAAACACTCACATAGACAAACACGCACATAATCTCAAAACACTCACACAGACCCACACATTCTCAAACACTGAAACACTCGCAGACTGACACACACACACACGACACGTACACACACATACGTGCATGCACAAACTGCGTTCTTCTCCTTTCAATCTTTCTGTCCACAAAGTGGATTTCGGGCTTGGTTGGCTTGTTACTGAAACGCTAATGGCTGCTCTTTCTGTGGCTGTGACTGTGCAGGAGAGAATAACACCAAATTGATGCATTGCAAAGATTGAGGAATAAGTCTGAAAAATCAACTACTGTCCTCTCTGAATGCTTATCATTTATTTATTTTTCTATGTGCAATGTAGAGCTTTTCCACAAGTAAAGGGCATTCTGATAGACTCCAGAATGCAGCATGTATTGTGATACATCCAGTTCTGCGTGTGTGGAGGCTGGGAAATAGCAATACCTCACTGCAGTGGAGATGGTGCTATTAGCATGGCTTCAGCAAAGAGGGAGATCCTGTGCCTGCTTCTCACTCCACGGTTCCCTTTTCTGTCTATATCTAATTATTTTTCAACCCTAACAGGATCTCATGGCCAAAGTGAGAGCAATGCTGGCTGCTTCAAAGGATATACAGACTAACGTGTCCTGAATAAAATCCAACAGACTCCCAGGGACACGATGACCTGAAAAGTGTTTGCACCAACATTGAGGCAATTAAGAACTAATTCGTTAGAGTTCATTTGAGCAGTATTTCACTTTGACAACTGTTCTGTAGAGTTACTTTTGATAAATACCGAATGACTGAGATCTTGCTCTGTTCTGTTATTGGTGTTTTGCAATGTTCCGCTCTCAAGCTCGGACACAAGAGGGAGTTGAAACACCTGACACCTTCGGAAAACTGGAGTTGTGTTTTGTACTGAGCCCCAGGGGACTGGCTGCCTCGACACACTTGCGATGACCAGATGGGAGCTCAGTTTATCCTTCTATGAAGGAGTTTACTACTTAATGTCTATAGAAGAATGAGATGGCTTTTTGATTTTTGTAATTACAAGCGTTCTCTGTGCCCCAAAACCCTCTTTGATAGCAACTGTTTTGGGGGATTTTAGCCTTGAACCAGTTGATGGACTCATTTTAAAGATCCACAGCAGGAGGAGCAGACAGGCTGAGAACAGTCATAGTATTTTTGATTCCCTGCGGAGAAACCATTTTACAGTATATTTCCCCAAACTTGCTTTTGGGCACTTGTTGAAATGTGTACATATCTTTTGACCTGATTTCACACTGTAATGTAATGCCGTTTGGGCCCCAGCAAATTAAAGTTTCCAACGACAGTGACAAACCTGTTAAAATATTGAAGGTAATTGCCTTTATTTGTTAGAACAACGGCTCACAGCGTTTGCTTCTGAACGGCGCAAATCTTAATGGGAAGGAAAAGCTCTCAGTTGGTGCTTTGTTGCAACGATTCACTCTTCGAATGTCGTGGCTGTTTCCAAATTATTTCATATTCACTCTTTGCTTCCACCTTAGTGCCACTTACTCCAGCTCACACCAAGCAAATTAGACACCAACAGTGATGAGTGATGACATCCGATGCCTTCGATCATAAGGTTAACAATAATAATAATCCTTGCATTTGATACAGCGCCTTATCACACCTTCGAGACGGCTCAAAGCCCTTCACAGAATATACTGTAAAGTGAATTGACCGTATACTTTGCGGGCGAAAAGTTTGGGAGTGAAAAATGATCAATGACCAGAATCATGTGGTGAGAACGGTTGCAATTGTGTTTTGGAATTAAACCTCTGGTTGACTGGTCAGGAGAGTTAAGGCCAGGGCTTGGCTGGTGACTAACATTTAAGCAGTGAAATGTACAACTGTAGAAACTGTACACAAAAAAAGGTATTAGCCTTGACGTGTGATTCATAAGATACACCGTCCAACTGGGATACGCAGTTAAGCCTGTCTGTGACTGAGGGACGCTGCCAAATGCAGACATCAGTGGCTGAGGGAGTTCCCGTTCTGTTCATTGTATTGATGTTCACCTTGTATACACACAGAGTAAATATTTCCCCGACCAACAGCTCCGCTGCGGTGCCTAATGATTATAAACCGAGAGCGATGTGCCTCCAGGAGGTTTATGACTTTTCCTTTAAATTACAAAAATCCTGGGATGGAGAGCCCGAAAGAGGCAATCGTGTTCGGTCAAAACGAAAACCAACTAAAGTAACAGAGATAGGCCAAGATAAACGATTTCCACTGGACACGCGGGAAACTGCTGATGAGAAAGTGTCTGACTCGACCACACACCGAGGAGGCTTTGGGCTTTCTCAGATACGCATGCAGTGTTGTCCCCAATATTTCGTCTCGTGCGACGAGGTGGAACATTTCAGCCGGGGAAAAGCCCGATCGTGAATGTAAGAGCTGCTTTGAAATATTTGTGTTACATTAATGCAGAGCGAGGCTGAGGGTTGGACACCAGCACCAGGTTTAATGCTAGGGTATCCTCGTGCTCCCAGGTCGTGTGAGTCATGGAAGTATTATTTTAACAGAAAGGAAACCTATTGCACGAGAGGTGTCACCATTTTGATGGACGGACGGAATTGACCGCCTGTTGCTGTGTTTACTAAATTACCATCCTATTTGTAATTCGTATTCCAGGCCCCATCCATTTTTGCCTTAGCCCCAGCCACTTTGCAAACCCCTGCACTCCGCTGATAAATAAATAAATCCCATTTTCTACATGGGAAAGAAAATTATTTTGGCTGTGTTTCCCTGGGCTAACGATCGGCCTCACTGTGCCTGGATTAGCTCGGAGAAAAATCAGTTCCTCCTGAACACAATCCAGAGCCTCCTGCAATGTGTGCCTCTGAACAATCGACTTAGCTGTGATTTTGCACCCCCCGCCCCCACCGGGCATCAGATCACCTCCGTATAAACACAGAGCCTCGTCAGTGCCCGTGGAGCTGCCCCAATGGGTGTCCACACTTTCAAGGGAGGAAGGAAAATGGCCACAGTAATCCTTCTTAGATTAGCAGATCGCGAGTTATCTGTTACTCTTGATATTTTAGGGTTAATTTGACAGCTGCACCAATTGAAGAATGTACACACTCCTCTGGCATCCGGGGCAGCACTGTTGGTTGAAACGAACCTTGACAACGTTTATCAGAAAGAAGGGATAAATGTGGGAAGCACTTAAACCGATTTAAATGACATGTAACTTGTGACCAGAATGTCCTAGCTCCTGTGCATCAACCTTCTTTGTCGCCAAATAACATTTGTTACGTAAAGGACTGTGAACTGTACGAAAAGTGCGATTGAAAATGCTCCCGAGTATGGTTTAATAACGATTGTAAATAAATACTTTTATTAACTTCCCGTGAGTGGCATCGAGTTAACTCATTTAAGCACAGCTTGGCTTCCTTGCTCCACTGGTGAACTTGAATAGGGCTAGTTCCGCTGTGTCGCTGGAGGTTATAAGTAAATATTTGCCGTATTATATTGTAGTGTTAGTATTTCACGTGTGGAAAGTGCAGTAATATATCTGTTCCAGTGTAACCGTTTGCCTGCGTGGTGGAGACTACAAAAACCAAGTGAGGGCTCGTGCCGAGCCAAGGATGAAATCAGCTTCGTTCCACGGAGGGGAAAACCTGAAAAAATAGGGTTTTCTCATCCTACTGAAGTGAAGAACAATTATTGATCAGTGTTATTTTAGCCGCTCCGCAATCAACCCGAACAAGCATTTATCAAAGTATTAATAGAGTTCACATAATTCTTGTACGATCAAGTTAACTTGCTGAGGTCTGAAAGCAGAATGAGAGGTGAAAGGATTTTTTTTCACAGGCGGTTAGGTTTTTGAAAGACCGTAATTTCTTTTAAACCATTATTAATTGTCTGATAAAAGGACCACAGTCTGCCTGTCACCATTGAGAGGCTAAACCAGACTGCGGCGAATCTCTGCGTTTCACAGGCCAGTTGACCCAGGAAATATATCGAATTGATAAAAAATATTTAATGGATTCATCTCGAAAATCCAAATCGTTTTGACGCGGCTACAAGTGTCTGCTCCCTTTGACTATGGCATCAGAGAAAAAGACCCATTCAGCCATATTGTACGTGTGCACGTATGCGTGTACTCTCGCTCTCGCTGAAATACCTAGCGCTAATTTGGATTCCAAGCAAGTCTACGGCAGACAGTGCCTGAGTGCTCGGTCTAATTTACAAATGGGAGCCAGCTCTCGGCTGTGTTCAGCAGCAGCTAGTGTAGGGCATTTGCCTAAGTGAAAGTATATGTTTAGTTGTGGTCTAGGTATGAGATTAATCTTCCTGAGTGGATTAGCTCTCTGTAGATCTATCCGCACCGTAGCATGGAGAAAGCTCCCTTGGTATCTCAATCTGGTATAGACAACGACCGATGATGAACACTCCAAAAAAAAAAAAAAACGATTTCATGTCACAGTGCGAGTGCGTGTGTGGAGGGGGTGGGGGGGGGGGGGGGGGGGTGGACTACCTGGTATGTTAGAGCCTGGTTGTGTGTGGGTGGGTGGGTGTGTGTGTGTGTGTGGGAGGGGGGTGGGGGGAGGGGGTTGGTGCATAAGGAGTCGTTGCATTTGGAAATGTCAGAAGGTTGTAAAATGCCACTTTCCCAGAAGAAGTTGCGGGCAGAATGGATTGTAACGTAATGTTTAAAAAGACTCAGAGATACTTGGGGAGTTTGGGGCATTGGGGAGTTACAGGAAAAGGCTACTTACATGTGTTTTTACTGTGAACAACACACAAGAGCTGTGGCGTTGGTCACGACCAGAGATACAAGGTTTAACATTCCACGCGATGTGCCAAGTTGAGTGGAAACTGATTAATAACCAATTAATAACCTCAACTGCTTGATCCCAGAGTGAGCTGCAACCAACCTCACGCTGAATAGCCAGTACCTTAGCACAGGCTCTGCTTGTGACATTCAGAGTTCAGGTCAAAAGCCGAGGGTCAGGAAATCCAACAAAATCCCAGCGACGTGAGTAATGATAGTAATTGAAGTGCTCGGCTTGGTGTCTGGGCTACAGTCTCTCGTTTAGCATAATATACACAATGGGATCGGGACAGAAGGCTGCGCTCGACAACAAGACCAGGACAGCATCCTTTGCAAGGTCCTGTGCGCTTACTGAAAATGGACCATCTGCCACTGTCCTCGTCTCCACTGGGTGTTTGATGCAGTGACTGTCAGGCGTTTATATGGGTAACATGAATGCATTATAAACCACTTAACAAGGACAAGCAGTTGGGATGTAGTTGGGAGACTGTTGTATATTTTAATACATTTTAAGTAAGGTACTCCCGAGATTGTCAAACACTCGAGTGCAAAGGGGTTTTGCAACTTCAAGGGGAATAACAACTGGACGCTTTCTGAGTCCCTGTGTAACATAGTCAGGTCACGGGTTCAGGGGCTGGCAAGGGGGCAGTGAATGGCATTATGCTGTTGCCTGTCTGTGTGGCAACGGTGAAGAGGCACCGACCGGGTGACAGCGTGAGGAATCGTGGAGGAAATCCTTACAGAAGGGCGTTCGCTTCCAGCCAACTGTTTCTTTACGTGTCGAAGTGTTTCATTCATCATCCGTTGGTGCAGCCTGAGCAAACGAACCCAATCGTCACGCAAACTTATTGCGAAGTAACTCGCGAATCAATATCAAGTCTGCGCTTGTAACTTTACGTGGGGAGTTTTACCCTAAATGGAGGAGTGAATCTGTTCGCAGCTCGGAATCCGAGTGTGTCGGTGATGTGAAATCGTCAGCCCTAAACTGAAATAAAAGTCAAAAGGCTGCGGACGCCGGACACCTGCAACGCAAACAGAAGCGGCTGAGAACACTCGGTGGGTCGGAGCAGCATCTACGGAGAGAGGAAAGTGAGTTAACATGTCAGGTCGGTGACCTTTTCGTCAGAACTTGGGGTGGCTCAACCTTCGCACCCTCCGCCCCCCCCCCCCCATCGGAGCTCACGCCTTCAGCCACTCCGCCCTGAAACTCTGGAACGCTCTCCCTCAATCCCTCACGCCTCGCCCCCCCCCCCCCCCCGCTCTCCCCTCTCTCAAGTCCCCTCCAGAAGACCTTCCTCCTCGCCCGTGCTTACGGCCACCTCCCCGCTCCCCCCCCCCCCCCCCCCCCTCCTTCCGGCTCGCTCTTGAGAAGCTACCCTTTGGAGTCCTGTAGCTCAGTGGTTAGAGCACTCGCTTTGCAAGTGAGAGACCTGAGTTCAATTCCAGGCAGAGGGCGAAACCTTGGGCAAGTTTCCTTACTCCACACAGAGCCTAATAATAATCCCTCCAAAACCAAAAACAATAATAAATTGGTCATTTTCAATCTACGACTGTTTGTGGGAAGCTGCTGTGCGCAATTGGCTGCCGCGTTCGCCCACAAATATACAGTCAATTCACTTTACAGTATATTCTGTGAAGCGCTTTGGGACGTCCTCCCGACGTGAAAAGCGCTATATCAAATGCAAGGATTATTATTATTATTATTATTATTACCCTGCGCGGAGGGAGGGATATGCTATTGCAAGTCCAAGCTGTCGCCGTTGTTGGAAAGGGAGCGGTTTATACGGAACAAACAGCTGGAAGACGAAAGGAAAAATATCGTGGCGGAGGGCCGCAGGTGATGAGATCAGAGGCGTCGATGGTGCGACGGCGAACGAAGACAGAAAGAGAGAGGGGGGGAGAGAGAGAGAGAGACACACACAGACACACACGGGGGGGGGGGGGGGGGGGAGAGGGAGAGGAGACTAACGGGAGCAGTGGGTGGGGGGTTCGGGAAACCATTTGACTCTCGTTCGCTCCCGGGGGTCCGCCTGACAATCTGGGAACAAACTCTCGGTGAATATTTCCTCGTTTGAGAGAGAGAGAGAGAGAGAGAGAAGCCAAGCGCTGCTGCTGTTAGTGAGGCGCTGGTGGGCGCTTCTGGTGGTTTGTGTGCAGCGAAATCACGTGTTGCTGCAGAGCTCCTCCCCCCCCCGCCCCAGTGGCCCCTGATTGGCTGCTGCTCTGGGCGCTGTGCCCAGTGATCAACACGAGAGAGAGAGAGAGAAAAGACAGACAGTCAGAAGAGGAGAAGACACAGAGAGAGACGCACACACACAGGGAGAGAGGGATAGAGACAGAGGAGAAGAGAGAGAGATAGAGACAGAGGAGAAGAGAGAGGGATAGAGACACACACACAGGGAGAGAGGGATAGAGACAGAGGAGAAGAGAGAGAGATAGAGACACACACACAGGGAGAGAGGGATAGAGACAGAGGAGAAGAGAGAGAGATAGAGACACACACACAGGGAGAGAGGGATAGAGACAGGAGAAGAGAGAGGGATAGAGACAGAGGAGAAGAGAGAGGGATAGAGACAGAGGAGAAGAGAGAGGGATAGAGACAGAGGAGAAGAGAGAGAGATAGAGACGCACACACAGGGAGAGAGGGATAGAGACAGAGAGAGAGAGAGAGAGCGGAGAGAGGGATAGAAAGAGGAGAGAGAGAGAGAGAGACACACACACACGGAGAGAGGGATGGAGACAGAGGAGAAGTGAGAGAGATAAGAGACACACACAGGGAGAGAGGGATAGAGACAGAGGAGAAAAGAGAGATAGAGACAGAGGAGAAGAGAGAGACACACACACACACAGGGAGAGAGGGATGGAGACAGAGGAGAAAAGAGAGAGATAGAGACAGAGAAGAAAGAGACAGAGAGGAGACGGACACAGGGATAGGAGTGAGAGAGAGAGAGAGTGGAGAGAGAGAGAGAAGAGGGAGAGAGAGAAACACACACTCACAGAGGGAGAGGAGAGAGAGAAGAAGAGAAAGACGGAGAGGAGAGAAGAGAGAGAGAGAGAAAGGGACAAAGAAGGAGAGAAAGAGGTACAGAGAGGAGAGAATTGGGGGAAAGTTTATCGTTGCTGCGATACCCCCTCAACCCCATACCCCTCAACCCCATACCCCCCCCACCCCCATACCCCCCCCACCCCCCCCCCCATACCCCCCCCCCCATACCCCCCCCCCATACCCCCCCCCCCCCCCCCATACCCCCCCCACCCCCACCCCATACCCCCTCACCCCATACCCCCCCCCCCATACCCCCCCACCCCATACCCCCCTCAACCCCATACCCCCTCAACCCCATACCCCCCTCAACCCATACCCCCCCCCCCCATACCCCCTCAACCCCATACCCCCTCAACCCCATACCCCCCCCATACCCCCCTCAACCCCATACCCCCTCAACCCCATACCCCCCCCCATACCCCCCCCCCCCCCCCCCCGAGAGGAGCTGTGGGTTGCGCTGCTGTTGCAGTTCGGCGATGTTGCGGATGAGCGGTCAGACCCCCTGATGGCCGCCATGGACCCCGCGCCCCGAGCACAGACCTGTTGGCTGTCAGACCGCCTCCCACTGCTGCTGGTGCTCAGCCTCGGGCTGTGCCCCCCCGGGACACAGGCCCCCACAGCCCCCCCGGACACAGGCGGCCCCCGGACACCGGCCCCACAGCCCCCCCGGGACACAGGCGGCCCCCGGGACACCGGCCCCACAGCCCCCCGGGACACAGGCGGCCCCCCCCGGGACACAGGCGCCCCCCCCGGCCCCACAGCCACAGCCCAGGACATCAACACCGGAATTGTGAGTACTTTACTTTATTGTTCTCCCCCAGTGACCCCCTCACACCCTCACACACACCCTCACACCCTCACACACACCCTCCACCCCCCTCCACACCCTCACACCCCTCCACCCCCCCACACACCCCTCCACCCCCCACCCCCACACACCCCCTCCACCCCCCCCACCCCCACACACACCCCACACACCCCTCCACCCCCCCACACACCCCTCCACCCCCCCACACACCCCTCCACCCCCCACCCCCACACACCCCCCACACCCCACACCCCCCCACCCCCCACCACACACCCCACACCCCACACCCCCACACCCACACACCACCCCCACCCCCACACACAGCCCCACCCCCACACACACAGACCCTTATCCCCCCCCCCTCACACACAGCCTCCCCCCCCCACACACACAGCCTCCCCCCCCCACACACACAGCCTCCCCCCCACACACACAGCCTCCCCCCCCCCACACACAGCCTCCATCCCCCCCACACACACAGCCTCCCCCCCCACACCACAGCCTCCCCCCCCCACACACACAGCCTCCCCCCCCCACACACAGCCTCCCCCCCCCCACACACACAGCCTCCCCCCCCCACACACACAGCCTCCCCCCCCCCACACACAGCCTCCCCCCCCCACACACACAGCCTCCCCCCCCCACACACACAGCCTCCCCCCCCCCCACACACACAGCCTCCCCCCCCCACACCACAGCCTCCCCCCCCCCACACACACAGCCTCCCCCCACACACACAGCCTCCCCCCCCCCACACACAGCCTCCCCCCCACACACACAGCCTCCCCCCCCCACACAGCCTCACATCACAGCCTCCCCCCCCCCACACACACAGCCTCCCCCCCCACACACACAGCCTCCCCCCCCCACACACACAGCCTCCCCCCCCCACACTCACACACACATACACACACACACGCAGCCCCTCACACACCCACATATACCCCCCCCCCACACACAGCCCCTCTCTCCCCGTCTCTCACACTCACACACACTCACTCAGGGGAGAGGGAGGGATGAGGAGACAGACAGTGACTGTGGCGATGCTGATGTGTTCGCTATGTGTAGCGATAGAGACACAGAGAGAGAGAGAATTTCTGCTCCGAGTACAACCATCAAATCAGTGACTGAAAAGCATCCTCCATCCCCTGCCAGCCTTGCCAGCCTTGCCAGCCTTGCCAGGTTGCCAGCCTCGCCTGGTTGCCAGCCTCGCCAGGTTGCCAGCCTCGCCTGGTTGCCAGCCTCGCCTGGTTGCCAGCCTCGCCTGGTTGCCAGCCTCGCCAGGTTGCCAGCCTCGCCTGGCTGCCAGCCTCAACACGGGATGCCCTTGCTCTTGTCTCCAATTCCCTAACCCTAACCCTAACCCGAAGAGGAGCAACAATTGTAAGGAAAAGAAAAAGAGAAGCATTTGATTGTAGTTTAGATCCTTTCTCGCCCTCCGAGGCTGCGGGTGGCAGACGACTGAAGTGTACAGGGTTGCATTTTAAACACGAATCGAATGAGTTGGTTTATTCCCCTTCAGGGTTAAACAGCGAATGGATTGCGAAGATGACGGGAGGTGCTTTGCTGGGTGGGGGGGGTTAAACAAGAATATCTTGTTCACTGTCTGATACCGAAGCCCTCCCAGTCGCTGGAGAATTGTTAGCAAAAAGGCACCATTTATAATCCCTAACCTTTTATCTTCCCGTTCCCCAAAGTCTCCGTAAAAACAACCAAACAAACGCCCCTCTGGAGCATCGCCGCGTGACGGTCAAGTTGTTTTCGGATCTGGACAGAAGTCTGGGAGAGGAACTGGCTATCGGGAGTAAAGATAATGAAACAATAATAATAATAATTATGAGCCTGGCATTTGATACGGCGCCTTATCACGTCTTCGAGACGTCTCAAAGCGCTTCATAGAATAATAATAAGAAGAAGAATACGCTGTAAAGTGAATTGACTGGATATTTTGCGGGCGAAAATTGTGTAAAATAAATAATCTGTCAGTAAGTGTAGAACACGTTCAGGCTTCAATCCGATGCCTGACTGCCCTAACCTGTCTGAAAATCTCCTCGCCACCTGGACACAGCCCCACTGAGACTGTAGGAGAGGAGCAATACTTGAGATCACTTAATTTCCGAAGCCATGAATGTCTGCGTGGCATCCGAACGTAAGAATTTGCTGAGCGAAAAAAGACCGAGGTCCGTTCGGTTCGCCTCCCCCCCCCCCCCCCACCCCCTCCCCGCATTCCTTGACATGCCGTGTCCCAAAACACGGCGTATCTATCCCGAGATATTATCTTCCAGCTCGAAAACCAGCACCATTTTCCGTTCCCACCATTTTCTTGGCGAAACACGCGTGCGAAGACGAATGCGTTCTGGAGTCTGACGGTCGCTCGCTCGCTCCCGCTCCCGCTCCAGCTCCGGCTTCACAGATTTTTATTTTTTTGTGTGTGCTGTGCAAATTGTTGGTAAGAACTCTCGGTCCGGCCATCGCAAACCCTTTGTGGCTCAAACTGTTTGTTATTTAGCGGGAAACGTCTTCGGCAATGGTCCAGCACGGTCTCAGCCGCCCTCCAGTGGCGGCAAACGTCACAGCACCGGTGTCCGTGTAAACCCCCCCCCACCCCCCCACTCTCCCCCCACCGCCCCCCGACACAGTCCGTTACTGTCTCAAACCTCTTCGCCGGTAACTCAAAAAGCGGTCGGAATTGTATTGATAACCAGGGAAACCTTTGTGCTCTGGGGGCGGCGGGTGGGTGGGTGGGTGGGCGGCGGGGGTGGGGGGGGGTGGGGGTGGAATTCTCTCTCAAGTCTGGCTTTGTCCTCTGGGATGCTACCCCCGCTATATAAATGCAAGCTGTTGTTGTTGTTGTTGATGCCTTCGGTCAGTGGCTGAGATGTATGTATCGCCCAGAGTTGGGCTATGGACGGTGCTGGGGATTCGGGTTCGGTTTGTCACGGTGTTGGTCACGTTTTTAATCGCGGTCCCGTGCAGGTGCCGTGCACACATTTTATTCCAGGCGTCAAATTCTTTCCCCCCCCCCACCCACCACCTGCTTTTTTTTCTATCGCAGTGACAGAAGGTCAACTCAGGACTTCAGCGTGGCCCAGATGGTTTGCGCGTTAATAGCTGGAAGGGTGCCAGGCACCTGCACAACGTTGCTTAGCACTACGAGACAACCATTTTAACTGTTTTTGGATGCTTTTCTCCTCGTTTTGACGTGCATCATTCACCTCTGGCTCTCTCAATCCTGAGACGAAATGCATTTGTGTTCAAATTCTTTACCCTCTGGGTATCCTTTCCCACCCAGTGGCAGTTGCTCGGTTTGCATTGGACCCAACAAATAAATATTCCAATTAATCAGACAATCTGCGCCGAGCTTTGATTGTAATCTCCTGCCTCCGTCTTGATTCCTGCTCGGAACATGTTCCGCGGGATGATTATCAGCGAATTCGATAGATTTGTTACAAAGGCAGAAGCTCCCAAGCATAAAAGCACAGATTTAGAAATAAAGAGTTCGGCTATCTGAGGAGATAGTCAGAAGCAGAGAAGCTTGACAGCGGTGATATAAATGCAAATTCGGTGCCTTTCCGGAGATTGAGAGAGAAAACGTGATAGAGGTGTTTATGCTTCCAACGGCAACACAAGGGGAATAAAGGGAATGTATTGTCGGGGGGAATCAGGAACGAAGGGGCAGAATCCTAGCAAAGCAATACAATACAATCCCAAATCACATTTGTACAGCGCCTTTCGCGTCGGGAGGACGTCCTGAGGCGCTGGAAAGTCAGGGCATTTGGACCCGAGCCGGGGATCGGGGAGGGCAGGAGGGTGGCCCGAAGGCTTGGTCGAAGAGGAGGGTCTTGAGACGGGCCTTGAAGGAGGCGAGGGAGGGAGCGTTTTATTGTTAAGAGAAGCGGGGGGAGAGGTCAGAAAGAAGGTCCTCACGCAGAGGGTTGTTAGGGTGTGGGATCCGTTGCCGCGAGTGGCTGGTGAAGTTGCCTCGGTGAATTCGTTCCGAAGGGAAATCAAAGCGGACGTCGCTGGGGACGCTCACTCAGCAGGTCAGGCAGCATCTTACGGAGAGAGGAAAGTGGACTAACGTTTCAGGCGAATGACCTTTTGTCAGAACCTCACAGCCGCAATTCATTCAAAAGGAACTTGCGTTCATCCCCGAACGGTAAAAAGATTAAGGTACGCGGTGAAGAGCATTAATAGTAAAGGTGTTAAACGCAGACAGCAGCGACACAGGCAATGGGACAAACAGCCTCGCGTTGGCTGCGAGTTTCTAAGTGAGTGTCTAAGCTACAGCCCAGGCCTTTGGGGACGTCCTCGCTACGTGAAAGGCGCCGCAAACCAAATGTAAGGATTTTCATGATAGATAGAAACAAATAACAACGCCATCGACTTGTGTACAGTTCAGCTCAGCAGATCAGCGGGGCTTTATTCTGCTGTTTCACAGTGAATTGGTTTGATCCACGTTGTAACTGAGCCACCGATGTGGCAACCATTAGTAGCGCAGGCTAAATCTTTTGCTTTTTTTTAAAAAAAAAACGACAAAATGTTATTTCCAACTCGCTGTAAACCTACTGAGCGGTCAGTAATCTCCGGGACACGAGGTTCAAGCTGGTAATCTTTACTGTCTGTTTTAATCTGTAATCACATCGGGACTGAATAACTATTTCAGGATCAGGCTGATGGATACAGTAAATGATGTGATTGCGAGCAGGGACGCAGCTGTCAGGGTCAGCGACTGGGAGATTTTCCACCTGTTTGTTTTGGACCCGAACAGATGTTGACCATCGCTCCCCGGTGCCCTGACAAGTGGGAAACATCCTCGCGATTTGGTGACACTTCTACATTGCAACATAGGAACAGGAGGAGGCCATTCAGCACCCCCACCCCCCTTCAGCCTGTTCCGCCATTTTATAAGATCAGGGCCGACCTGCACCTCAAGGGCTTTGCCCCATATCCCTTAATACCCTGACCTAACAAATATCTACCTAACTCCGTCTGGAAAATACAACAGAACCATCTGAGCTCACGGTGTCCTATCTGGGCATTGAGCAAAGTGAAACTGTTGGGGAACCTGGTTCTGACTCTGGCTCTGACACACGCAACTGGCACTAATGTAGTGCTGACAGTGCTGAGGGTTTTGCAGCTGTGCACTATTTATTTGCTGTGTTTACGGCGAAATCTCAGCCCACAGTTCGGTGGGATGACATTGAATTGACGTCTCCAGTCCAGGGGAGCAGACACGCACATTTGGGCATCGTCTTAATACGAATCGAAGATGTTAAAACAAACCCTGTCCTGGTCCAAGTTATTATTCTTCCTGACGTGGTTCTGTGTCCCTCCCTCACTGTCTACTGCTGATCCACACTGACTCGGTCACAAGGTGAAAGCCTACGATTCGCCCACAAACTATGCAGTCGATTCACTTTACGGTAAATTCCGCGAAGCGCTTTGAGACGTCTCGAAGACGTGATGAGGCGCCATATCGAATACCAGGATATTATTATTGTTACAGTAAGACTCAAACCCTCACACACCTGTTGAGGGGCACTCGGTGATGGGGGAGGAACCGAGGCGATATAAATGGATAAATTGGATATCAGTGCTGCCTGCCTGGGAATTGCTTACCTCTGGTGTCGGTAACTCGCTCACAGCGAATCCCAAACATTTAGAGACTGAATCTCAAACGGAGCTTCTCAGCTGCCCAGTGAGACCAGCACTGACTCCCTCTGCACCAGGCGGTGTAATTGGAAAGGTTTTACTCTCTCCTGGAACTGTCAATCTCAGTGCCTGTCTCCATGCGCGCTGCCCCAGGCAGTGAGTTAACCAGGCACCGACTTAACCGGCTCTCCTGTAAGCCTGAGCATCCCGGAGCTGTTCACAGGATCACTAAGTAGCTGAGGGAACACATCACTGATTCCCTCCTCCCCTTGTGCAGCTGTTGCAACTCCGTCTGTTGCGGGAATGGCTGATGTTTACTGTCTGTCTCTCTCTCTCTCTCTGTTGCAGGAATGGCTGACTAAGTTTGGTTACCTGCCGCCCGCAGACCCGGTCACTGGGCAGCTGCAGACACAGGAGGGCTTGACCAAAGCCATCCGGGCCATGCAGACATTCGGGGGCCTGAAGATCAGCGGGATCTTAGGTTTGTCGCTGACTTCACATTCGCCGCAGAGCTGCGCTCCTCCCACCCCCCCCACCCCCACCCCCCAACCAACGCTGCACAGTCAACAGCAACAACAACAACAACTTGCACTCGCATAGCGCCCTCCAGGCAGGGTAGCTTCTCAGAGCGCTTAACAGTGGCGGAGCAAGTTTCCGACAGACGATCAGCTGGTGGATAGACGGCCCAATGCATAGGACACGGGGTGCGGAGAGTGGGGCGGTGGTGGGGTGGGGGGGGTGAGGGTTGGGCTTAAACTATGCTCCCCACCGGTGTTCAGCAACCCGTGTGACTGTCTGATCACAGACCAGGCCACGCTGACGCTGATGGAGACGCCTCGCTGCTCTCTGCCCGACATCCCCATCCCCGACCAGGAGATGGTGAGGAGGAGGAGGAGGCGATCGGCTCCGAGCGGGAACAAGTGGAACAAGAGGAACCTCTCCTGGAGGTAAACCGTTGGTGACGCCCACCCCCCCACCCGCGTGTCCCGTGTCGCTCGTCTCACAAGATTCGCTGTGAAACCAATTGACTGTGTATTTTACGGGCCAAAGAGAGAGAGAGCGAGAGGGGTGGGTGTGGGGGGTGGCAGTCTATCTCTGAGAGGGTGCGAGGGGCAGCGACCATTTTTTGTTGTTGTTCACGTGCAAGGCGATTTGTACGCGAGCTGGAAGTGTTTCACTTGACGGTGAAGTGACGTGGTGGGGAGTGGGTGGGGGGTGGTGGTGGGGGTGGGGAGGTGTGGGTTGTCTTGTCGAGGCTGGAGCCTGACGTGTCTCGGGGGTCTCCTCCCCAGGATCCGGACCTTCCCGGTCGAGTCGCAGTTGAGCCGCGACACGGTGCGAGTGCTGATGTTTTACGCCCTGAAGGTGTGGAGCGACATCGCGCCCCTCAACTTCCACGAGGTGGCCGGGGAGCAGGCCGACATCCTCATCGACTTCTGCAAGGCTTTCCACAACGACAAGTACCCGTTCGACGGGCCGGGCGGGGCTGTGGCTCACGCCTTCTTCCCCGGGGGGGGCCTGGTGGCCGGCAACACGCACTTCGACGACGACGAGGATTGGACCTTCCGCTCCTCGGGTGAGTCGGTGAGAGAAGAGCTCCGTCGGGTTTATCGCGGGGCTGCACCCCCTCTCCATTTCCCCCCCAATCCCCCCACCTCACCCAGCACTGCCCCCCCCTCCCCTCGCCCTCCTCAGAAGCTGGTGTGGTGATAAATCATTTATGTCCCATCGGCTGCCTCGTTGAGCCCACAGAATCCACAGTCACTACACTTTACAGTGTATCCTGCAAAGCGCTTTGAGACGTCTCGAGGACGTGATGAGGCGCTATATCAAATGCAAGGCTTATTCTTATTTATTATCACCGATCCCAAACATCTAATCCTTTGTCTCTGCCAATCCACTTGATCCTACAAACGTTCCGAATCGGGAGTTGGGGGCTGGTGGGTGGGGGGGGGGGGGTTGGGGAGAAGCCCCCAATCTCTCTCCCGCTTTCTGAGGCCAACGACAACTTGCTTTTATCTAGCGTGGCCCTTCACACGCCGGTGAGGGTCTCACAGCGCTTTCCAGAGGGCAGCGTAAAAGCTACGCACGGACATTCCTGTCGCAAAGACATCACCGGAAACCTCTATAAAGATTTTGCAGGGAATTGAAGCGTTGCTGGTGCCTGAGCCACTGGGGACATGTTTGTTGCACTCACTCAGTCACAGTCACAGCTAAAGCCGACTCCGAGCATATTATTGTCAGAGGCTCTTCAGCAGAACATTCAATTTCCGATGACCACTTTACCCTTTACCCAATTTTCCCATTAAATGTTGAAGGGTAATTATTTTCAGTCAGAGTTTAATTACCTGCGAGCGTTGGCGAAACCCTGACTGTAAGTAAGATAAATAGATTCTCTGGAGATTCCAGAGGCTGCGGGCAGCAATAATAATAATAATAATCCTTGCTTGCTTTTGATGTAGCGCCACTTCACATCGAATTGTGTTGAAATGCTTCACAGGACCCCGTAAATTTTACTGTGTCGTAATGCGTATTTGCGGGCAAACTGTGCAACCCATACACACACAGCGTTGTTCCACAGACAAGTGTGAAGTGAACGATCGTTTTGATGCAGAGGATTGTTGGGCAGGATGGTGGGGGGGTGGGGGGGCGAAGAGAACTCACATTTCTTTTCTCAGACCCATGTGGAATCGTGCGGTTTGTGGGGACAAAAGTATTGATCTACCAGTTTTGATAGTCTGCCTGAGCTGAGGTGGCGAGTAGGTGTGTGTGTGTGTGTGTGTATGTATGGTGGGGGTGGGTGTATAGGTGGGATGTGTATGCGTGTGATGGGTGGTGACAGGACATGTTTGTGCTGGGACACACACACACAACACGACTGAGTACTTTTTCACTCCTTGCAGACGCCCAGAAGATGGACCTGTTTGCTGTGGCTGTGCATGAATTTGGACACGCCCTGGGTCTGTCCCACTCCTCGGCCAACAATTCCATCATGCGGCCTTATTACCAGGGGCCTGTTGGTGACCCCCTCAAGTACCAGCTCCCCTACGACGACAAGCTCCGCATTTGGCAGTTGTACGGTCAGAACTTTATCCTTCCACTTAGTTTCTTTCGCGGCACCGTTTCACAATCTATACGTTCGCCTCGAAAATCACCACCAACAGCTTCCATGTAGGATCTGTATCTCCCCAGAGAGGGAAGAGACGATTTAATTGGAGTCGAACAGAGGAAGGCGAGAGTTTTTAAGGCCCTTGGCGAAGGGGTTTTGAAAGAGACTTCCAGAGAGAAAGAGAGAGAGATTAAAACTGAACTGTTTTTGCCAAAGGAGTATCCTCACCAGAATTATCAGCCACTTCTGGCTGCTTTAAATATGTATTTCATCTGATGTTGTCTGATGAATGAGTTTAGGCTGAGCAGGATCCTTTGCCATTTACTGTTCACCCACTCATTGCTTCTGGCTCACAGCGGACTCATCGGAAAAGATTAAAACCATAATCCTCACGTTTGATGAAGTGCTTTATAACCTTAATGCGTCTCAAAGTGCTTCGCATCACCCAAATAGGGCAATAAACCTACAGGCTTCTGACATGGAGGTGAGAGTAAGAGATAAGACTGAGCCAAGTCAATAGTCGATTACTCCTGAATCGCACATCTCCTCTAAGTTGTTTAAGTGAAATCACTGGTAAAGAAAGCTATTTGTGAGGATCTTTTAACTCTGTATATATCCCAAAGCTCACGAGAAGCACTTTACACTTTATTAGAAACTCAGCCACACCTTGGGTTGTGCAAATTCTGCCTGGATATTCTTTTGTTCGTTTGGGCTTTTTGGAGACCAGAGCGGATTTAATGGACCAAAATGGCTGTTTGTGTGCCAGAAGTACTGAATGATTCTCCGATGAAGTACTGGCTGTTTCTAAAGGACTGATGACAATGCTGCTAATTGGAAGCTTAGCAGCTGATTATCTATAGATCTTAATCCACTCGTCTGTATCAGTTTTGTCTCATCGCTGCTGCTGTCTATCGGACGGCAGCAAAGGTTCATTATTCTCCTGTGAATGAAAAGGAAAGTACAGTAACTGCCTGTGCTTAATGAAGGGCTGATGAAGCTAATTGGGAGCAATTAAAAGATAAAGCGGCTTTGACGCTCACTCCCCACGGGCAACCTTTCTCTTTGACCGTGCCTTCAGCTCCCCTCTCGACTCTCTACCCCCTCCTCGCTCGCTCCCTCCCTTCCCTCCCCTCACCCTGACCATTTCTCCCCAATGCTCGGGTCCTGACCCAACTGTACAGCGCCTTGGGACGTCCTCCCGACGTGAAAGGCGCTCAATAAATGGAATCTTGTTGTTGTTGTTGTTGTGTTTCTGACGTTCTGACGTTTTAAGAACCTGCACGTGACGAAACGGGGGGGGGAGGTGGGGGGGGGGAAAGGTGACAATTCGAGATGTTGCGATTTTCTCTTCTTATCAAACATTTTTCCCACCAAGGAGTCCGAGACCTGCTGATCTCAACATCCCGACCGGGAGCCGAGGAGCCATCGGATTATCCCGCACTTCCCAAACCTCCGAAATCCCGACCCACTGCACAGTGAGTATCCCCGGCTCGCTCTGCCACAAGCAGGGAGAATGCTCTTCACTTCCCCTCGTTTACACACTCGCATGAGTACAAACTCGTGTGCGCACACGCACCCGTGTTGCATACACACCCACACCTATACCTGTGTAACTAAACCCAAACTGAACCCCCATCTTCCTTAACCAGAACTATTTCTAAATATCCCCTTTTAATAATAACGATAATCCTCGCATTGGACACAGCGCCTCATCGCGTCGTTGAGACGTCCCCAAGCGCTTCGCGGAATATTAAAGTGAAGTAAATTGACCGTGTGTCTTGTGGGCGAAACTCGGCAGCCAATTGCGCACGGCAATTAGAGATGCCACGAATCAAACACCTATGTCGCGCGCTTAAATCACAAACTGTTAATAAAATCCCGAAGCTGTTTCTAATCTGCTTCTCTCACAGACTCAGACCGGATGCCCCTGACAGGTGTAACGCGCACTTTGATGCCGTGGCTCAGATCCGAGGAGAAGCTTTCTTCTTCAAAGGTACCGACTGATGAGTAAATGTCGCATTTACTGTGTGAAAACAGCATGTGTCTCGTTGCTTAAGTTCCACCCCACCCAAACGGGCTGGGTTTAACAATGTCTCATCTGAGAGAAGATCACCTCAGATGTGACAGGTCCTCGAGCAATTCACTGAGCCGCAGCCAGACTGTGACCTCAGGTCCTGTTTGCTGGTGGGGAGCTCGAACCTGTAAAATCAATCGTCTGACCTTAAGAGCACCAAGAGCGTGACTGAGCAACAGAACTCAAGCCGCTCAATATCACCGCTCCGACTGTAAAATAAACCAACGTCATCACGGTGTAGCCGTGTTGACCAAGTGAACGAATGTGTTTTCATCTCCTATTCAGGCAAATATTTCTGGCGCCTGACACGGAATAAGCATTTGGTGTCACTACAGCCAGCACAGATCCAGCGATTCTGGTGGGGGTTACCCAGCAACCTGGGCAATTTGGATGCTGTGTATGAGAGATCAGTGGACCATAAGATAGTCTTTTTCAAAGGTAAGGTTTAATCCCACATAAAGCTAGTCCATTATAGTAATACAGTAATAATAATAATAATAATAATCCTGGCATTTATCACGTCTTTGAGACGTCTCAAAGCGGTTCACGGAACAGACCGTAAAGTGAATTGACTGTGTATTTTGAGGGTGAAACACGGCTGCCAATTGCACACACTTGCAGTGCCCCACAAACAGTCATCAATTGAAGTGACCAATTTATTTTTATTATTTATTTTTTTGAAGGAGTTATTACCCCCGGAAAAGTGATCCGCCGATCGACTAACAACCGGCTTCCTACTCGCCGCTAGGTAAACAGAGGCGTGTGGAGTAAGGAATATTTTTTTACCCAGCCGGGAATCGAACCCGGGTCCCTCGCTTGCGAGGCGAGCGCTCTAACCGCTGAGCTACAGGACATTGCACCGTGTATCCCAACACAAGTCTAGCCGCAGCACCTGTAAGACAATAATTTTGTCCGCAGGATGTGGCCAGCCTGGGAAACCGGCGATAATAAAACATGTTAATGCAAACGGTTTAGTTTTTTTTACAGTCTCTTTTTTTAGACGAGATGATTTGCACCTAGCAGCTTGGATTCGGCGTACATACAGTCTCCACACTGGAGCTCTGCTGTGCAAATACCTTGACCCCGGAATTTTATTTACACTGTTGCTCTGAAGTTGCCACGGAAAGAAATATTTTCAGTCTTGGCGTACGTGTCTCGATTAATAATTGTAATGAAAGTCATAATAATAACCAATCTTGGAGGATTTCAGTATTTTGCGGCAAAACCTTAAAGCCTTTTGTGTAAACCTTTCCCCTAAAAGATTAAGTACAACTGTCAACATCCTCATTTACTGCCCTTTATTAAGTCTTCGGGCTTCAGCTGTTTAGACTCTATTAATGACAAACTGTGTGGTTTTAGCTGGATAGACTCCAGCAATTACCCCAGCGCACACTCTGAGGTCCCGAAGCCTTGGCTCTTGCCAACCTACGCCTAATACTTTCCAGAATTAAACAGGATGCTTCCCTCCAGGGAGAGAGAGAGAGAGAGAGAGAGCGCACGTTCCATTCCAACAATCTATCTCTGGGATTTCCATGTGTAGGTGGGACGCACGGAATTCTCACTCAGTTGGGTTTGGAGACTCTTCAGCAACGGTGATGGGTTTCCGTGAGCATCAGACACCCGGCTGGCCACAAAAAAACAAAGACTTCATTCAGAAAAAAAGGAAGGGAGGGGGGGGGGTCAGGCGGAGGGATAGAGGGAGAGTGATCCAGAGTTTTGGGCCGTAGTGGCTGATATCTTGGTCCCGTCCCGTCCCTCGAAGCCATCGGTGTGCGCGGTTTTCTGGCTCAGCAGTAAGTGGCCAGAACGATACGAGGAATGTATTGAAAAGAAATGTTGTCGGGAATTTGGGAAAAGCTTGCACGTGGATAGCGACTTAATGCATCTCTCAAATCTATTTGACAGGCAGCAGATATTGGGTGTTCAAAGATAACAATGTGGAGGAGGGTTACCCCCGCTTGCTAGCTGACTTTGGCCTGCCAGTACAGGGTATTGAGGCAGCTTTTGTCTGGCCCCACAATGACAAGACCTATTTCTTTAAGGACAACCAATACTGGAGATACGATGATCACAGCCGGAGGCTGGATCCCGAGGCCCCGGAGGAAAGCTTGCTGTGGAAAGGCCTACCCAGCAACATAGATGATGCAATGAGGTGGTCTGATGGTACGTTCCATTAACAGTTTAATTATTCAGTCGGATCAGCTTGTGGCGAACGCTGGAGTCGGTCCAGTGAGAGAGTTTTGACAACAACAACTTGTATTTATATAACGCCTGTTACGCCCACAAAATATACAGTCGATTGACTTGACGCTATATTCTGTGAAGCACTTTGGGACGTCCCGAAGATGTGATAAGGCGCTATATCAAATGCAAGGTTTATTATTATTATATTCGCGGATATAAGATTTAAAAAGGGTTTCCCTACCCCAGTGCTGTGTGGTTCGGTCACCAGCCTCTCAAGAGGCTCAGAGACAGTGACTCTTGAACAGCCAGGGCTGCGAGCAAGGAGAAGCCCTCAGCCAGCGACAAAGTATTTTCTTATTTGAATGTGTCACATCTTGATTTATGTCGTGAATCGAGAAACATTTCATCAAGAAAAATCTGAAACGCACGACTGATCGAACACGGGCTAACCCAGACCTTGGGCGAGCGCTCAGTGGGTGGGTGGGGGGTACTGGGGGGGGGGGGGGGGGGGGGATGGTAGGAGGAAAGGTGGATGTCTTCTTAATGACCAAGCCCGTGGCTTAAACCCTCTTTTTAATTAGACCATTGGAAACGAAGCCTAGAGCCCTGGGGTCTGATTCAGGCCTCTTGTGGCCTTAAGCTTTAGTCGACCACATTGTAGTCGGTGTTCGAACGATAAGAGGAATAGTTATCGTGGACAAATGATTAACAACGCCCCAGGAATGTGAGATAATGCGGTGATTTGTGGAACCGGGAATCTTCAGACCCTTTGGGAAGGAGATGGACGGCAGCTCGGGTTCGCCACCCAGTGACCGCTCTGTGCGCTACAACCACAAATTTACACGGTGCCTTTCGTGTCGGGTGGACGTCCCAAAGCGCTGGACAGTCCAGGGTTTGCGCCCGAGCTGAGGGTTGGAATCGAGAGAACGTGGGCGGTGGCGGGTGGGGGGGGCTGGGAGGGAGGGAGGGTGACCGAAATACTAGCAGCAGCGTCAAAAGGCTGACCGACCGATCAGTGCGTGCGTGCGTGTGTGTGTATGGTTGAAAGGCGGAGAGGATGGAGGAAATTTCACTCTGATTTCTGTTGAGCAGAAGCATATTTGATCGGGGCTGCCCTGGGGTCAACAGAAAGGGATTCAAAGATCTTCCATGGTTTAATCGAATGTAATCATTAGTGATCGATCAGTGGTGGAAACCCTTGAACTCTTTGCACCTCAGGGGGCCATTTGCAGTCACGCTTAGCGCAGAGCAAGGTCCATGTCTGGGTTGGGACAGTGCGTTAGCCCTGAATCCAATGCCACAGAAGGTGCCTGATCCCAACTTACCAGCTGGGGTCCAAATCCCTGACTGTCCAGGGCCTTGGGACGTGAGTGGATGCTGCACAAACATGATTTGTTGCTGTTGATCCCTGGACTCGATGCGCCCGGGGTGGGGGGTTGGGGGGTGGGGGGGGGTGAAACTCCTGGTTGTAATGACGTGAGAATCGAATGCAAATGCACATCACGGATCGGCAGAGCTTGATTTTTTTTTTCCGCCTCCTAATCTCTCTCTCTCTCTCTGTGTGTGTGTGTGTGATAGGAACCACCTACTTCTTCAAAGGGAAAAGTTACTGGAAAGTTTTGGACGGACACACGGAGGTGTCAGCGGACTCGCCACGGTCCATAGCCAGAGACTGGCTGATGTGCAGCGACATGCAGGCGGACGGAGTCGAGGTGGAGCTGGCCAGCTCGCGGCACGGACACCCGGATCACACCCGGTCTGAGGAGGAGGAGAAGAAGAAGCAGCAGCAGCAGCAGCAGCAGCCCAGTTGCTCCTGTACCTCGTCTGCAGCGCAGCCGAGCGGACCAGAGGCTGTTTGGAGGCAGAGGGCGGCTCACCTCGTGGCGGGCTTGCTGTTTGCCACCGCTGCCGCGGCAGTGGTTTAGAGACTGGATCGACATGTCTCGGGGATATTCTGCCGACACTCACACCCGGCGACCAACTAACCACCACCGGCTCGGAAACCTTCAGCTTCTCCAACCATTGAGGAATCGCAGAGATGAGATTCCGTTTGATCTCTCTGGTGGCGGGAAGCGAAATAATCACCTCCCCCCCCCCCCCCCACCCCGAGACCAACAATTTCACTCGGACCGAATTGCGACAGATCGACCGTTGACATTAAACGATTAGAAGCGAAATGTTCTTATTAAAGAGCGACGGTCCTCACACCGTTTTGTTTCGCAGCCACGCGAGGCTGAGACCTGGGTTGTCGAGGACAGCTTTACCTCCTTCCCGTTCGTGCTCAGAGGTGCGTGTGCTGCTTGTAGACCCGACTGCACCTCTGATTTCCTCTCTCTCTCTCTCTCTCTCTCCCTCTCTGTGCTCCCTTTGTTCCCCGCTTTCACTTCACTGTGTGCGTTTATCACTGCAGATTGGTTTGGGATAGACTGTAGCACGTGAACGAACACTAACTCACCAACTACCAGCTCCGACAACTCAGGAAAACATCTGCAAACTGAGGGGAATGAACGCTCCTTGGTTTCTGACCTTGCTGACCGGCTGTCGTTAGTTACCCTGTGTGATTGCTGAGTAGCTAAGCGCTAGTTAATTAATGTGCTTCGGGAGCTGAGATGTGAATGATTCCTCCACACCGTGATTGCCTGATAAATGAATTTACTATGAACAGCATGAGGTCTCTTTCTGACTCCTCTCTATCATCATCATCATCATCATCATCATAACAATCCTCGCATTTGATACCGCACCTCATCACATCACGTGCGAGACGTCTCAAAGCGCTTCACAGAACATACAATAAAGTGAACTGACCGCTTTTGTGGGCGAAACGCGGCAGCCAATTGCGCACAGCAGCGTCCCACAAG